ATCGACTCCGCGAAATAGGGCCCAGCGCTACATTACTATGCGGAAGGCTTTACAACACTACGGTATCTTGTGTTCGAGTTCTCCAGTCTGAAGACCAATATTTAGCATGACACGAAGTTCACAATACAGGCCGGGTGTAATCAAGCTGTCTGTAAAGTGCAACTTTGAATTTTTTTGTTTTCCTTCCCATGTCCAAAAATGTTTGCTTCCATTACACCTCTTTGTGCTCTTTGGTCGTGGCTCTGCCTTAGTATCTTCATGACTTAACAAGACACAACCCAACTGCCCTTGCCTGCTTTTATTGCAAGGTACTACTGGAAGGAGGTGCTGACACGTACATAGAAGACCTGGCGGGGGACACACCGAGAGAATTCATTTGTCGCTGCACGACATACACCAACAACCGTTCGTTGCACCAGTGCGCTCCACAGAGGTGCCAAACGCCTACGGAGGATCAAATTATGGAATCCCTCATCGACAATGTGAGCAATCGGTGATGATGACGTGTTCTTTTTGTTATTCACGCTGCTCGTTTGTTGATCTGATGTGCTGGCAGGTTGCTGGACCACATGGACTACCACAGAAACAACGACTGTGCCAGACTTGTGTTGCAGTGCCAGCACTACAATGGCGGTTGTTTTATCAGTAAAACTGCTCCTTTAAAGTTCGTACTGACCGTGTGCAAATTTCTGTAGAGAAATGTGACCCCCAGCAGGCAACAGACCTTGGAACTTCGCTGTTGTGTCTTCCTCGTCAAACATGCAGCAACCACCACTTCTGTGCCCAATGCATATGGGGGTTATGTTGCTCTTTCTGATTATGCCATCCGCAAACTCAGCTTATACTTAAATCCAGTTCCCATCATTCACCTGCACTGAATATTTATGTGTTGCATGCCTCTTGTGATCCATTATGCTTTGTTGTACGGATGCTGCGTGACTGCCTCTGGTAGAGGAATGACTACCAGTGGTACAGTTTGCCTCCACCATGACTATTGTGCATCTCTGCCTCCAGGCGCGCCAGAATCTGGGCTGATGCAGCAGCCAAAAGCTGGCAGAAGGGGCCATCTGCACTGGCAGGAGGGTACCAGAGAGCTATCCTGGGAGCCAAGGATACAGTCAGGGGGATCACATTGCACCTGCTTGATGTGGATGGTGGGAGGTGGTAGCTTGTCGCCTGTTCACTATCGTTGCTGTGACATCTATTGGATGTGGGAAAGGCGCCCAAGAGCCTCTCCCCAGCTTAGACGGCCTGACTGCCCTTTGTTGGAATAATCGCTTGGAGACACTTTCAAGGATTGTGCTCATTAAAGTTCCACCAGATGTGTGGTGGCATGATGGATACACGGTGCCAGCAGTGCGCTAGTGAGAGAAAGCAATTCAGATAACTGTGTAAGGGGTCAGGTGCAGTTGACACACTGCAAGCTTAGCACAATGCTTTGCACATTTATACAGATTTTGGCAAAAAATTAGGTTGCAGAGGAATTGTAAATTAAGGGGAAGTCAGTTGAAGGTGATGTAAGCTGAATGGGCACTGTAAACTCACTGTGCTATGGCCAAATGTTTGGTAGGGCCCTGCCAAGCGAGTCTGTCGCAGTGGGTGAGGTTAGCTTAGGTTGTGTATCACCCATCAGCAGGGTGGTACCCCTCTCCTGGTCACGTGAACATGCACGGCATTTGCTCCACATGACCGCAACCATGACAGTCCGCGACCTTGGCCTGCGTGGGGCAGGCCAGGTGCTGTAGCAACAGGAGAAAGGGAATCCATCCTGGGCGCCCCAGGAAATCACGCACAGTTTCCAATTAAAAGCATCTCCACATCCAAGGAGAGCGCTGGAAAAGCAGGGTTAAAGGGAACGGAGCGCCCCTGCCCCTCTGGACCTCCCCCTCCCCCTCCTCCCTACTGTTGTTGGCTGGAACCCCCGCTCTTTTCACTACACCCGCATCTTGGGCCATCCTCACACATCGCGTTCCTCCTCATCCGTCCAGAGTACGCATTGGGCTCCCTTGGCCGATGGCTCCAGGCTTTTGGGGCGCTTTCGCAGCGAGAAAATGAAGTCGTCGAGCGCGCCCGGTGCGTCAGCAAGAGGGGATTGACCGCGAACAATTGGCGAGGCAAAGAAAATTGTTTCTTTTCGCCGATTGAATTCCGCTGGCAACAGTCCGTGAGCACCACATTGCGAAAGCAGACTGCCCCAAGTTGCATGTCACGACGGTGGCGATGATACGGAGCTTTCACCGCCGTCCGGACGTGCGCTTGGCCGCCACAAGTATGGGAAACGCGCAAGGGAGTGGCAACCCCCAAGGGACAGCGGTCAGGTGCACAGCGCTGGAAGTTCGGGGGAAAATCCCCCAATCTTGGGAGGAAAGCGCAACCGAGTGCCGACCGTAGGTACGATCCTTTCGGTACGCTGCCCCACGTCCTGATTCGCCCTCCGGCAGCCGGGGCGCTGCGCCAAGATCAAAGATCCACCCGTCTTTGCATCCGGCTTGGCCACCCTTTTCAGCCTCCCGAACAAGACGCAGAAACCGCACCCCAGCTTGCACGCCTCCGCCTGACCTCTTCGACGCCCCGCTACCCCGACCACCCACGATGGCGTCCTCCATGAAGGCCTCCGTCAACACGGGCTCCAGGTAGGCTGGCTACCCCCCGAGCGGCACCGAATCATCGCCTTGGCGTGCTGGACACTCGGGATCGGAACCAACTCGGACCGCCCTTGCGACCGCCAGCGCTGTTTCCTGTTGTCCGCGTTGCCATCGTTGTCATTACTTCAAGGGAGCAGCCAGATCGCCATTGCCTTCCAGCTTTGGCCGGACGGCCGCGAATCTGCAGCGCCTGATGGCCGTGGGTCTTGGCGCAGTGGCTGACGGTCTGGATCCCATGGTGGCCTTTGTGCAGTTTGTTTCAGTGGTCGTTGCTTCGACGCAGCTGGTGGGGTATAAGTGGAGTTTGGGTGTGTCGTTGCGCCCGGTGTGTGTGGGCTGGGCTCGCTTTCTGAGGCATCCCGTTCTCTTTCAGGGCTGCGGTCGCGGGCACCCCCATGAGGGCCGCCGTCAGGGGCACCACCACCCGCAGCAGGTGCGTTCGGCCCCCTCTCGTCGCTGCTTCCACCCTGTCAGGCCGTCCGACGTCACTGCGGCCTTCGCCCTGTCCATCACAGCTCCAGCCGCCTCTCACCGTCCCTGGGTTTCTCCCCTGACGCGCATTGGTATCCCGCGTGGCCGCAGGACGAGCGTGTGCGTGCAGGCCGCGGACTCAAGCCGCCGCGAGGTGAGCCTTCCAGCGCTACCGGGAGTCGCAGCGTGGGGTTGCCATGATCGCGACTGCCTTTCATTTCATCGCATGAAAAGCCATGCCTAACGACACCCCAGTCTTGCCTCGGGCATCGAATTCCGCACGGCCTTCCCCTTTTTTTAGGTGAAATTCCAAAGGGTGTGCTGACTTTATCAGCTGTTTCGGTTTCCTTACTGCCGTGTTGTCGTGAACGCTAGTGAACCGTTGTCCGCTGGTTCAGATGCTCGTGGGCGCTGTAGTAGCCGCCGGGCTGATGGCGGGCCCCGTGATCGCCGCCACCCCGTCCACGATCGTCCCCAGCGACGACAGGGGTGCCAAGGCCACCTTGGATCGCCGCGATGAGGCCCTCGACTTCGATGCCGACATCCGCGAGCGCCTGGGCCAGACTCAGTACCGACAGAACATCGAGGATACCAAGAAGCGCGTGGCCGAGTCGAAGAAGAAGTTTGCTTCCGTGGTGAAACCCAACTTGGACAAGTCGTACTGGTAAGCGCCTGCTGCCAAAGCAGCAACAACGTTTATTGTATTGCAGGGAGCGTCTCTGTATCATTCCTGAGTGCTTCATCCCAGTGAAGAATCCCAATATTGCTCCATTGGGCTGTGGAGTGCGGACGCTGCCCGTTTGGGTTATGAGCCCTCACAAGACACGTTGATGGTTAATGTTGAGTTGGATGCTTGGATGGCCAAGTGCTAGCATTGATAAGCATGACACTGGTTCCAGGTTATTACATCCAGGAACAGGACAAAGGCAGCGCTTGCAAAGCATGCCAAAGCAGATCACAAAGGGACACCGGCGCCTGTCGATGTCGTGTTGGAAAAAGGGGTCAATGGATTGTAACTACCAAGTCTTCTGCAATGAGCAGTGAACGTCGGGACAACGTCAGGAAACGCAGGGAGCCAGACGTGCCGTTATAATGGGTGAATATATCTATGGCACGGGCATGACCCTTGGCTGCTTGCACGTTTCAGTGTATCAAATATTCAAGCATAACCCACTGCGTCCATTGCCATGCTGCAGCAACCAGCTTGCCGCACTGCCACTCTTTTTCTGCGTGGCAATCGTTCGGAGGATGGTATTCGACCATTCTTCAAAGGATCAACGTCCACGTAACTACGTTGGTTTCCCTAGTACAGAGTTCTGCGCTGGTTTTAAGAACACATTTGCTCCATTGACGGCTGGGAGTTTGGCGTACGTTTCCCCCAGGTGGGCATCAAGTTGGGTGCTGTTGTTTCGCAGGACTCAGGCCCGCGAAGGCCTCCGTCTGCAAATGGGATACCTTCGTTACGACCTGAACACGCTGGCGACGTCCAAGGCCCAGAAGGCCAGCGTGAAGGACTTCGTCGCCCAGGTGGAGAAGCTGGACGGGGCCCTCCGCGCCAAGAACCTGGAAGCGGCGCAGGGAGAGTACGCGGCGACGATATCGCTTTTGGACAGCGTCACCGCCGGCTTGTGAGGCGTGCAGCCGCGGAGCATTTCAGCCGACGGGCCCATGGGGCAGTCGCAGGGATGTGGGGAGCACGGGGTGCCCTGTTTTTGAGTGTGGGCCACGCGGGCTGCGGTCGGACCTGCGGGGGCGCCGCCGCGTGGGGCAGTCTGGCCCGCGTGGGGCACTGCTGCAGTTTTGGAGGTCGGGACAGGCTGCGCTTGAGAAGATTTGTTGGGGAGGGAAACTACTTGTAAAAGAATGGACGATGTGGCGGACCCTGCCTTGCGCCCAAAGGATGTCCAATGTTCCTGGCCGTGATGGCTGCCGAGCCTGTGGCTGGACTTCCTCCGCAGTTCGGAGACGCCTGCCACTGCTGCACACGGCAAGTCAAGCGGGCTGCGTGTAGGCTCCTCGCTGGTTGTGGGTACAGCCGCGTTGCGGCCACCTGGTGGAGGTCGCTGTGGATTGGCGAAGGAAGGAGACCATTGCATCCACCACAGTCCCATGGTATCGTACACCAATACCTGGGGGGGGCGTTGCCCATTAGGTATCAGTATAACAGCAGGGATGCGCCAAGCCGCTGTTGTCATCCCCTCTCTGACTGTGGATGGTGATGACAACCTTACATCTCCGTGTCGAGGGAACCTCTTCTGCAACGGTCTGAAATGCCAGACGTGTCCTGCAGCACCGAAGCCACGACGCAAGAGCATCGGGCAAGGCCCGCTGAGAGGCAACATGGAGATGGCCATAGCGACAGTTGCCCGGTGCTTGCTCTCCGGTGTTCAGCCTTGCCGCGATGATTCCCGCAGTGGCGTTCTCGAGGCGCCCTTGTGGCCCACGATGATATATTCCAATAGTTGGCCCCACGACAGCCCCGGCGCCTCCACCGTCACCTCAAATCTCCCTGACTATTCGGCACACTGCTGCTATGCTCTGCCAAATTTGGCAGCGTTCAACCAGAATTTTGGTAGGTGGCTGGCAGATATCCTTTTGGTCGTTTTGCCCTTTTGCCCTCTCTTATGGCAATCGATGCAGCTATCACTCCCACAGAATCCCGCGGGATTGCGCAGTTCACATGCATCCACATGTGGAAATTTCGGAATTCGAAGTATGCAGTTGTCCCTTTTGGTACAGAATTGCTTTGGTGGCATAATTGAGGTCATCCTTGGAGTGGGATCGCGGTCCAATTTTGTGATTGTCCATCTCCCTGAATACAGAAGTGGCCTTCAATTGCGCTAGTCATTATGCTGTAGGTAGAACTGCAATGTAACATGTTTGTTACTAATGAGGATCACGTCAGTTGCATGCATCTCAGCCACATGTGCTTTACCACTCATTTGATGGCAGTGCTGCTTATTCCTTTGGGCCCTAGCGTGCCAAAATCAACGACTTGATGCCATAGAAACCGAGCTCGATGGCAGCCATCATAACGCACTTGACAATCACCTGAATGGCTTGAATGTTTGTTATTTGTGCCTTGCACAATTCGCCTCATATTTGCCTCTGTGTGATTTATCAATGTTGGCGAACGTGACCAAAAGAACTGCACTTCAACGTTTGAACGACAAAATGCACTCTTTCTTGCATGTTGTCTAAAAGCTGGGGTGCAGGCAATGGCGTCAGTCGCGCGACACCACCAGGCCAACTGCTGGTGGCTAATACTTGGGTACAAACTTGGCCTGCAGACAATACTGATAATACTCCAGGGCAAAACAAACGTCTCGAATTCCCCATACGCTGGAATTTTCGTGTGGTGCCATGCCCAACACATTGATGTGAACAACAGATACCTGCCCTGCCACCTCAGCCATCCAGGAACATCCCAAGGCACTTGGTGTGCAACGGTGCATATGCCACAATGTGCCAGATGTTCCAGCACTACACAGCTCTTTTGCAGCTAGAAACATGCTGCTCTCTCCACTTCCCCTGCTGTCTTCATGGTTGGAGCAACATGGCGGCAACAATTCCAGGCCGGTAAACTTGCAACACAACGTTGTTGTTCTGAGCAAAGAACCAACAATGGGGTCCTAATGGAAGTGCCAGAAGGATGGGAATGGGAAATCAAAACCCAACATCCGTCACATCTAGCCCACAGAACACCGCTCAGGACTATGGATGAGGGGTTCACCTTCAGCAACAATCCTCTCTCGGGCTGTGGTGTTGTTCCTATGTGACTGCCTCCATTCAACTTGTCATCATCTCCACAATTTTACGCTTTACACTCCACGTTCCCGGCCATCCTCCCAGCGGCCTTTCTTCCTGAGCATGCAAGCCGGATCCTCCAAACTTGGTCACCTTCCGAACAATCCCGCCCCCAAGCCTTTCACCCGCATGTTCAGCACCCAAGATGGAGCCTCAAAACCCTCGCATGCCCGGCCGCCCTACGCCCCCCCGAGATCCAAATCGGCGTCCTCCGCTCCCTCCGCGTCGCGCTCCAGGGAGTTGTAGTTCAACAACTTCTCTATGAGGTCCACGTGGGTCATGAGCATGCGGCGGCAGCAGTACCGCTTGAGCCCCAGGGCGTCCAGGGCCTGCCCCTCCGTGTACTCGGCCTGCAGCAGGTCCAGGTACGTGTCCCACTTGTTGCCGATCACCTTGCCGCAGGTGAAGCACCGCACGGGCACAATCATACCCGAGACAGGCCGCCCTTGGCTCCCCCGAATTTCTCCCTGGGCTTCGGGTACCCAACTCTCTGTATGTGCCGATATCCGTTATTTTCTCTTTGTGTGCTCTGGTGCAAGACCGCTGTGCCCATCAGTAATTGACCCAAGGCACACTTCTGCCATCCTTGTGCCACCAATGCTCGGGACATCACAACAGTAGGTGTCCCTATGTAGGGACCGCAATATATATATTGCGCCCCCCCAATTTCTGTAGTACTTTATGCAGCTTTGTTGCGCAGTGGGAAATGTACGCTACACCGGCGGCGAAGGCACCCCTTACACTTGTGTCCACGGTGCCCCCTACACAGAGAGCTAGGGTACCCTCGAGGCTCACGTTTCCCGGCGCGATTCCGCGTCGCCGCGGTGGCAATGGAGACCATCGCCGGCCCCGATCGTCACAACAGCGATGGCCCGCGCCCAAAGTCGCGGCTCGGCGTTGCCGTCCCCGCGAGGACCCAGTCAGGTTGAGGACCGACTCCAGAGCCTTGCAGCGCTCTGTTGTGGCAAACATCAGCGCAGCGACCGCGGCAACGGAAGCAATCTTCGCGCCCCTCAAGATCAAGCGTTTCGGGCCCCTGGGTCCTGCGTGCAGTTTTGGAAAGCGGAGAGCAGGGGTGCGGCTTCCACCCGGGTCGGGGGGCGTTCTTGAGCGCGAACACTGGGGGGAGCAATCACGTGCCGTGAGTGACGAATGCGCTTTTGGATCGATGGAGGGCAATGCGGCTGCGGCGATGGCTTGCGAATCCAACGTCGGGGTTGAGACAGGTTCCCCTCAAGAGTGCGATGGCGATGGTGCGAGTGTGACTCCCTCGACTGCGACTGGTCCCTTCGCTAGGCTGCGGAGCGCAACGGGGGCAGAGACGCGGCTTTCTGACGTCGTGTCCACGGCGCCCAGCATCCACCCGTGCTCGTCGCCTGAATTTTTGGTTTGTTCCTGTACCCGTAGATGCGCCCACTGCAGGGCGCCGATGCTGCATGTGCCGACCGTCCGGAACGGCAAATCAACGCTCAAAGTTGCCTTTCACGTGTGGCAGTGTCGCGCAACAGCTCTAGAGGCCCGCGATGGCGCGTAACAATAGACATCGGCTTGGCCATCGCTGCGCGGAGTGCAATTGCCGCACCATACGCCCAACCGCCAAGGCCCAATGGGCCCAAGGGTGGCACAGGGACACGGCGGGTGTTCCAATTGTTGGGCATGAGGGAATGTCGGGAAGGGAGCAAGGAGTCCCCATCGATGGGGGATTCCTTAGTGGGGAGGGCGGGCCACCCATCGTGGTGGCGAATTGCGTCGCTTAAGGCGGTAGGATGCGGGGGACAGTCTCTGTGCAGGGTCTCGGTTGTTGTGGCACTGACTGTGACTGAGCACGCGTAAGCTCGGGAAGAGAGATGCAAATACAATCATTCAAAAAAGGTGCCTCCCTCTTACATAAAGGAAACAGGAAACGATTGTTGCAGGTTCTGTTAAATAATGTGGGGAGGGCAAAAGTGCAGAACGTTGGGCCAACTTCTGGACTAGTAACTTACACATCGGTGTCCATGGCACCACCTACACTGGCGTCCACTGTACCCCGTATACCAGCAGCCAGGGTAGCTCCAACAAAGGCGGCTAGGGTACCCCCTACACCGGCGGCCATGGTACCCCCTACACTGGCAGCTTTGGGTACTCCCTACACTGGCGGCCAGGGTACCCCCCTTAGCACAGCAGCGCCCCCGGCCCCCAGTAGCGCCCCCCTTGTGTGTCACCCTACTGTACATGGGATGCCTGGGTTACGGGCATACACCTTACCGTGGGCGCGCCTATTGCCGGTACCCAACTCTATGTTTGTGCCGAATGGGCATTCTTTTTCCCAGGGGAAGCGGGGCATTGCGGCACAATTTTTTATCTGGGTTCCGCTTGCCTGGCGCACGGAGAGTTGCTTGAAGTGCCCTTTTCCCGCCCTTCCTCTTGCCGGTGTATCAACCCAGAGCTGGCCGTCTGCCCCGACTATAGATATGCGGAACAGGTATTCGGATGGCCGTCGGCGCGGCCGCGAGCCAAGATAAAGGGCCGCCTTCGCCTCCGCGGCCTCCGTGCTATTCTCTGAGAACGCCCAGGGCGGTGGGTGACCGTGGCCTGGCGCTGGGATCCCGGGCCGGGGATTCCGTAGATGGATATGGAGGCCGAAGACGCAGGTGAGGGTTGAACTAGTTCGTCCGAGCATATGGGAAGCGCTGACTCGATCAGGGTAGGTTTTGTTGCCCGGGCCTGCCCAGGGGCGAGTGAAGACAACTGTCGGGAAAGGGGGGGGGATTTGGAATGCCCTACTTGCATTGGCCCTATGGGCGTGTGTGGATTTGCGAACGGCTGAGGTGGGGAGATCTTATCCGTTTGGCCTTTCGAGATAGCGATTGCGCGACTGGGGATGGCAACTGACTGCCGGGCAGTTGCATTGAGGTGGCGCCCTGCGGGCCAATGCGGCGCTGACGACTGCATGCGGAGATGACGAAGGCGCGCTGAATGCCTTTGTTTGAATTTGCCTTCGAAAGAAGAAGATGCACAGCGCGGAGGGGGAGTCACCCCTTCAGTTGTTGTGGCCTCGCGCCAACAGTCGATGAGCGTCAGCGCGCGGAACCGAATCCACGTCGCGACACGTGCGACGAAACGCGTGACGTCGATGGCATTGGTGTGCGATCTTGAATGGGCTGCCTGGCGCAGAGGTGATGGACCGGATCGAGAACTGGACGGTGGAGTTTATCGGCTGTCGCTATCCTGCGGGGGCCTCCGCCTTGGACGTCTTGAGCCACATCGGAGGCAGCCAGAAATGGAAGAAGAGTGTGAGTATGCTGGTCCCCCCGACGGCGGCAGACTATTTCAGAGGTTCATGCGGAAACTGCTGCAAATTCACAGTAAGGGGCAACCAAAGACCGCATCAACAAGCAAGCAATCCACCATCATTCATGTGGTGGGCGATATCACGTTGCATACTTGGGCAGTTGCACGTGAACACGGACAGGATGTTCATGTTAGTTCAGGTGTGTCTTGTTGGTGGTGTTACGAAACTGGCATGGTCCCTCTTGCTATATGTTAGAAGCTTGGCTGAGGATGACGTCTCTTGTTCATGCACCTCAACTCCTGTACTCACATGGAGCTCTGAAATAGCGCATTGAATCCACACTGTTGCTTACTTTGTGCATTCATGGGTGCAGGTTAACAAAGTGCTATATGATCGACTCCAGAAGAAGGGACTGGCGGTGGTTGTCGATGGCACACCACCTCAGTGGGTGGCAACACCTGCTTGTCTGGACCTCCTGCTTGAATGCGGTGTGCAAGTTCCATTCAAAAGAAATCCCTCTGGTGAGATATCAATGTCTTTCTGCGTTGTTCTGTCGATTATGAGGGATGCATCAAGGACAGCTGCTGAAGGCAATGCGTGGTACTCTGTGTTGCTGATGGCATGAACAGTGGCCTGGGGATCATGATTGGACTGTGTTCTGCAGCAACAGAAAAGCTCTTCACCGCAAAAGCAGGTGCAACTCTGAAGGCCTTTGTGCTATAGTTGTTATGAAGATGTTGCTCATCTGCAACATTGAATCCAGAATCCAAAAGATAGACATGACAGCATTGGCCTCTCCATGCCTATGAGCATCATTGGATGCTGCTCTGCATCAAGTCTTCAACCATTAACTGAGAATTAAAGTGTGGACTGGCTGTTCTTGTGGTAGCAAAACCAGGGCACAAACACGCCCGTAGCCCTGTTGCACACTGTCCAACGTGTTCAACATGATAGTTTTATATGCAGGCCTGGGGTTCAGCACATTCCGATTTTGCCACTGTCTGGATTGCAGGCCGTCCGGCCTCTGGTGCCCCCACCAGCCCCATTATCTGCTGTACCAGACCTGGTGCCTCCACCATTGGGCAACATTATTTTCAGACTGAGCACACACCCTGCAGCCTGGGAGAGGCTGCTAGCTTCCAGGAGCACAGTGTGGTTACTTGTCAAAATCAAGGATATGATAAGTACATATGCGAGAGCCAGGGGTGTGAGAGCTGCGTTTATGGATATCAGCCATTTGACAGGAATGCATCTGAGTGGGGGAGCTACAGCAAGGATTTGTATGAAGATGGGGGATACGATGTGCGCCTTTGTGGGAGCCAGGGGTGCGACAGAGATGCTTGCGGAGACCAGGCATGTGACAAGAACACATCAGAGGACCAGCGACATGGCAGGGCCATGTATGAACACCAAGAACGCAACGGGGACACAGATGAAGCCAAGGTGCAGAACGAGGTTGCTCAAGATGTAAGGGCCTTGGAGGAAGTGACTTGCCGCAAGGATTTCGCATCACAGGGGGGAAGCTATGACCATATAGGCACTACATTTGCTGGCCAGCCTGTTGCTGGGTCTTACATAGGGAATTGCGCGGTGGAAGCTGCAGCTGGAGATGCCTTGATTGATAGCAGGGAAAACAAAGGAATCGGGGTCTGTGGCAAGGCGACTTGTGACACATGGGGAGAAGTGCAGGACCTTCAATTGATGCAGAAAGATGGAGAGGGCTTGGGGGATGGAAGCTGCCCTGACCTGCCCACGGAATCAGTGAAGCCAAAGATTTCGGCTCTGGAGACAGAAGCAGCGCAGTTGGCCACACCAGCTAGTGGAAATCGCAGTGGCAATAGCAATGATTATTCAGAGGCTGGCACTTCGACTGTGATGGCACATCGCAACAGATCCCTGAATGCAGACGACAGCACGGCCTGTTTTCATGCATCTGGATCTGGAGTGGGTGTCCAGGATGGGATGACCTGTCCCAGAGTCTCTTTCGACCCACGTGGAGAGCACCGATTGGGGCTACACCCTTGGGAAGCCCCCAGGAACTCAGAAGGTGAAGGGTTTTCCAAAATTGCATTTGAGGAAAAGCCCTTCTTCAGAATTCAGGTTCCAGCATCGACTGCAGATAGGATGCCAGGCAATGGGCATCAGGCCAGGTCTGTCAGGCACTCTACACATCAGGTTTGTGGCCCTGTGCCAGTCCCCCTGCAAGAGATAAAATTGGGTATTACGGCAGTGCACACTGTGCGTAGGGATGCTCAAGACAAGCCCCATGTTGTGCGTTCGACTTATCAGGCTAAGTTGGGAGCTGAAACTGACCAGGGAACCCTAGAAGACGAGCTTGGTGCAGACGTCACTTACAGTGGACAGGGACAGCCATTCAGCACAGTGGCTCTGAGCACTACGAACGGCCACCTTGGCATAATCTCAGTGGCACAGCAGACCTTGATATGCACCATGCAGTTAGTGAACATGGCCCTTAAGGAGCTGTCTCAAGATGACAGGCACAGGGGGCAGCTGCCAACTTGTAGGCTGCCTCACGGCCTGTCGCCTGATGCACCCCTTGCATTGGCACAAGCCCAGGACCAGCTGAATGAGGCGTTTGCAAGGCTAAGTGTCATGGACAGTGGCACTTCACTGCACCACATTTCTGCCCCTGGAGAGATGACACCTTGTGCTCCAGTGGCCAGCGCATGTGGGCAAGGGAATGGCACAACAGGAGTGCCAAATTTTATTGGGATACCAGACATGGACAAGCAGCCAACAGCTGTGCACACTAGCAGTGTAGCGGGTCACTGTGCTTCTGCAAATGGAAGCAATTATGGTGCATTCACCAGGGATGCCAATGGCACATTCTCGCACACAATTCCATGGACCTCCAACACCAATGGCAGCATGGTATCCACGGGGACTCTGAACAACATGGTTGCTGAGGCACTGACGATGGATGCAACGGCCATTGGCGCGGAGGCATCTTCAAGGTATCCAATACCTAGCAACAGTGAGGTGCACAAGCACTGCATATGCCAGGTGCAGTGAGAGAGTTGTCAATGGTGCACCTCCTAGGACAATATGGGCTGTGCAGTTCATTGGCATTGAGATGGTCATCAATATGCCAGGCTGCAGCGGCAGTGAGGTGTTGACAAGAGCTGAGAATCCCCTTCATAGTGAATGTTCCCAGGGGGATTGAGTGTCTATAATAGTGTCCATGGCAACACCGATCTTTTGACTTGATTGCACTCTGCCTGCCACGCCTTCCAACAGGAACATTTGAATTGGATTGCTTTGTCAGGCCTCCGCATTTCCTGCCCCTTGCCCTTTGGTGGTTTTCTTGTTCTGTATTACAGGTCTTTGTCAATAGCACCAATCATGTCCCATGATGATCACTGAACAGGGCTTGAAGTCACCCAATCGATAAAAGGGCAGTAGTGTGTGACAAGGAGCTTGTTAGGCTGTGATGAACGATACCAATGCAGATATAAACTGCTGAATGCTCCAATCTGTGTGCTATCAGGCAAGCTGCAATGGCGCCAAAGTCATGTCCTGCACCAGTCTGTGGCTTGAGCCCCCCATCCACTCACAACATGCCTCCTGGGCACATCCCCAACTGGCAGTCATTGGCCGAATCCGCGTGGACCGTCCAAGAGTCCTCCTCAACACATGTCTTTTGCCAAGGCCACCCACAGTCTTCAAACTTGGAGCTGCCCTGCATAGAGAACTCTTTGGAACCAGGTTAGCATTGGACAAGTTGTTCCATGTCTGTCAGGCATCCGACCCAGCTACCTGCAGCAATGATAGCCAGGTGGCGAGTGCCAATGATCTCATGAAACAAATCCCAGAGAGGCAGCTGCCTGTGGCAAACACAGCGCCATGTGCTAGCAGCTCACTATTGATACGGATTAGCAGCAGTTCATGATAGGTACGATGGAAGTCAGCAGTGCTGGTGGTGGCTGTGAAACAACTTGCAGTAGCCATCGATGGGCACAAATGTGAGGGCCCTCTGCTGGTGTTTGCACAGGAGTGTCGCCGATGGGGTCATTTGCGGCGGCCATGGAAAGGCAACATGTTGTGGGAAATGTGGCTGCAAGCAGCAGTGCTGGAGTGCCAGCATTGGGGCAGGATGCGGTGGCGATGGAGACGAGACAAGTCACAGAAGGCAGACAGCCCACCAGCAGCACTGGGGTGTGGGTAGAAGGGCACGGCGCTTTGGGGAGTGTGCGGATTGCTGTGGACCCTCAATTTGCAACTGGCACCCCAGCAGCCCAGCTTCAACCTCCTGTTACACCCACTGGTGTTTCTGGTGAACCTGGTGACCAAGTGGTGCGCTGGCAGCTTGTGATGCTGCGTTGTTGCCTTGAATTTAGTTTGATGCCAATTTCCTCCTCAGTTGATGTTCGCTGCAACATTTGTATTGTTGTCGGGTGCCAATTTGAATGGCTGTCGTTGTCAGAAGTCCGCACGTGCTCATTGTTTCCAAAATGTTCGTATATGGCTTGAGCAGAGGCAAGCTGGCGTGGATCTGCTGTGTGTGCCTGTCACTATCAAACAATGAAGTCAGTTGCCTTCTGCACTGGAGCGCTGAATCCCTAAAGCGAGTTTCTAAGAACCAGAGCCCTTACAGTATCTCCAACCTCTGCCTTTGTGGGGGAGCTCCTCTGTTCGTATTATAGTGTAATACATTTGGAATTCAAAAAAAAATAAACTGTGCCTTGCAGAGGGTGAAGCTGTGACTCAATGGCAGCTGTGTGCTTTCTGTCCCTCAGGTTTCACAGTCCGTTTTATGGGTGCTCAGGCAGCTTGCACCAGGGCACGCTTGGACAGCAAAGCAGATTGCAAAGCAGCTGGGAGTGAAGCCGAAGCAGGTAGTCGTTTTTGATAATGAGTAGCATTTCGTCACCATAAATGGAGCACCGCCTGGCGTCGTCTTGGTTAGCTGAAGCAGCCAATGCGGGATGGAATTGCATCAATCAAGTTTTAAAAATATCTAAACGATATGACTACAACAGAGGCCACGATATGTGTGCTACTGTGAATGGGATAACCTCGTATGTATAATTGGGAACAGTATATTTATCTCCCTGTTGTTGTTGTGGTGCAGACAAACCGTGTTCTGTACCATGACCTTTCCAAGAATGGCCTTGTTGAAATCCTGAAGACTGCTGACGCTGCTGCTCCCTTGTGGCGAGTGCCAATCCAGAGCTATGCCACTGGCTAGGTATGTTCGTTTGGGTCTCCTTGTACTGGCCCCTGTCTCTGTGACAATCCATGGCTCGTACCCATTGGTGGCAATGTCTGCAGCATTTTCAAATGGAACATGAGTGATGTTGATTCCTTTGTATCATGACATTTTCAGCACTGACTCACATAATCAATGCACAACATGCAATCCAATGCCTGTGTATTTAGCTACCTCACGTAAAGGTTACTCTGCGTGTCTGGCGTTGAAAGTGTATGATCATCCCGACAGAAAGAACATGTGACATTCGCTCTGCTTGCACTTTGAATACAGTGGAATTAACTGCCATTGATGTATGATTGTCATCTGATAGGATGACTGGCCGCTTTCAGTACAACGCTAGCAAACTCATTTTCTCTTGAGACTGCCAATTACATGAGCTTAGTGTGGTTCATGTGGTGCAAATCATCAGTCCTCAAACATTTGGTCACACTTACCAGCTTCCAATGCATTTGCTTTGGCACCAATATGGGAATTCGGGGCACTGCTTACACAATAAGATTTGATCCCATTGGATAGAGGCGTATGACACACCTGGCATGTTGCAGCGCAAACAAGCCGACGTTCCTTAGGGTTAGGATGGAACAAGATGTATTCTAGCTGCGCATTGCATCTTTGACTTTTGGCGCAGCAGTTGAAGCCAATTTATGCACCGACGTGTCCAGATCCTCAGATTTTGCCAGCCATGAAAACCCCACAGTTCAAGAGCGGTATAGCCCAAGGATTGGTACAGCAACTGCAACCGTATTGTAATGACATTATGCAAAGGCCTTGTGTTTGTGAGCCCGAGTCATCTCAGCACAGATGACCCGAAAGTGTGGTATTGATTGAATGAGGAAAGCCTCAGAGGAGCTGCCTCAAGCAGGCACCACAACGCCCCCCTATGGCACTAGTCACCAGTCAAATACATTGACCACTGTATTACATTCCCTGTCATGTTTCCAGCCCTTTTGACGCGGATAAGTTTCGTGCTTGAGTTGTGCGAAGCTGCTGAAAAATCCATGCATGTTGCTCCATGTAATTTGTATCGCAAGGATGGTGTGTGAATGGTGATTATTTATGTATTTCTGATAATTTTTTAGTGCAATCTCCGTCTCAAAAGTCATGTCCGATCTCCAATTCTTGCTGTAGCTTTGCAAGATCAACTCAATCGGTCAATACATCACCATATCTGGATTCCTTGCCTGATGTTGATACTGGTTGTAATTGTCATCACCATAAAACATGACATTCACAGCCCTATCAAAAGTGGCCCTGGCCAGTTCCGTGCAGGCCTTCGATTCCCCACATTGTTGCATTGGCATGGTTCTGGTTTGCACCACCCCATTTCTCCAAAATTCATCGAGAGCCTTGTTGTAGGCAACAGATAGGAACTCCTACATGCTTTGAAGAGTTTGGTATCATTAACCATCATGCATCTTGGGGACCGCCTCTTCCAGTATACTGAACCATGTTTCCAATATTCTGGCTTTCAACCATTGGCTTTGTTTCCCTCAATCCAGGGCATTTTCTTGGTTGATGCAACTATGTATGGTCTTCCAAACCTTGGCGAATCTGCAAAACAGATGCTCATGCATTAATCAAGCTGCCTCTTGGCCTTTGACCACCACTTGCGCGCGGTTCTTGTTAACACCCAAATTTGGTTGCGGACTCCGATGCCTTTTATTGCAAATTCTGTTTGGAGTCAAGCCGCATCCTCAATGCACACCAAACCACGCACACCCCTCTCCTGGTGACAGCTCAGCTCGACCCACCCCTTTGAAAGGGTAAGGCAAGCATGCTGTACCCGCCCAATGCCCCGACAAGATGCAAAGCCGCATTGCGGCTACTCTTGACATATCACAAGAACGGCAACTCCATTAGGCACGTTTGAGGGCTCCTCTGATAGCTCTTGATATGACGCTTCGAAGTTGTTCCAGTCAATTTTTCTGACTCACATGTCTGGACCTCCGTTTGTGCAAATTGGAAATTGGGCATGACTTTTGAGACAGACGTACTATGTTGTTAGTAGTATTGATGATACACATTTGCAAATATGCATTAGAACCATGCAAACGTAGCGCGGCACGAGTCGGAACAAGATAAATTGTCCAGCCAGACCCTGGCATTTTGCGTTCTACTTCCATTCATTTTTGACCTTTTTTGTTTTCAGAGTCTAAGTTGCGGCACCGCGCTCTTTGACACAGGGCAGCGCGACCAGCACCAACATCCTTCGGTCCACTCAGGAGTTTGTGGAGACCCAGGCACGAAAAAGTGGCCTTTTCGCCACTGCCTCACATTCCTTGCCAAATTCTGCATGCCTGCAGGAGCTTATGCAATGCCAATAACTGCCATCAGGTTGTGGCCCAACTCTGATCAACTTAAATGGTGAAATTCTGGGGCAGCAAGGACGACGGAGAGCAAGAAGAGGGCGTGTTGCCCTCCAAGCCTAGTTTCTTGAGCTGGCAATGCGTTTTGGTTGCCTCCCCTGTTCCTTATTGGCACATTAGGGCAGGAATTGCTGTATGCCATTGAGCACTGACTCGTAGTAGCAATGTATGAAGCGTCTTACCGATGGTTTAGATGTGGTAAACGTGGACTTAGAAAACGAGAGTACGTCCAGGGTTGATTATAGATTAATGTGGATTCCTTGTGGCTCTGATTTGAGCAACATATGTGACAATGACTCCAGGAACCGTTGCATCATATGTTGCAGACATGCATATAGTTGGTATAGAGAGAGTGCATCTCCTGCGAACACTGCAACATCCAAACAGACTGCGTCCCATCCTGCAGCTTCTCTGGAAACGTGCGGGACAGGACCATTTACTGCCGCACCCTAGAATAGCATATCCCATTCATGCCGACATCATGTTGATGTGATATGCTACACAGACCACTAATGCGAAAAACACGAGTGGCAGACAGAGGGCTTTGGAAATGCGGGCCTGAGTGAAGTTCATGCATACAGCACCACCGACGCACGTCCTGTTGCTGTGGGGTGTGGGCCGCCGTACTCCATGATATTGTCTATTGCAAGCTCAAATAATCGCCGACCAACAATCGTCGACTGTAGTTAACGCAAACGGTTGTTTCCATTCCAACACAGAGCACACTTGCCATGATCGTCCCATTGCCTCACAAGGCCTCACACTGCACAAGGCGCACACATAGGTTTGGGACTTACCTTGAGGAGGTTTGTCCCTCCCTCAGCCAAGCTGAGTCAACATGCAGTTGAATGAAAACCAACAGCATGAGAGAATAATGGCAATATATAAGGCCTTATCCATCCACCTAGGTGGGGAGACAGCCCCAGAGAAGCAAAAATTGTTATCAAGTACAATGGGCGCACACGGGTCCACAATATTTTCAAGGCTGCAGTGTGTTACCATCTGGAACGTGCTAGTTGTGGCTGTGCACCTTCCGTTGCTATGCGGGGATTCCAAGGTCTATGTTGCAGAGATGCATCCAACACCAAGGTGTAGTGCAGGCATTCATTCTGACCATTGATTGGTTGGTATGCATTTGTCCAGAGCCCTACCAGCCGCCATAACTTGCTCCAGGGAAGCAAGGTAACAGCCAGGGCTTGGGACGAAAAGACGTGATGTCAAAAGCTGTGTCTTTATAATTGGGGAGCGAGGTGCTTCACAAAGGCGCATGGGCCAATAGATGTGGAGCAATTCAAGTGCAGCCCAAAGTCGTTTACGTCATGGTTAAATCTTGCTTTCAGCAAGTATTGAATGCTAGTCAAGGACGTAGCTGTCAGCTACCTATTTTGCTGAGAAAAGCAGTGCACATGATTTGTTCATTGAGATCCAAGGTGCTGCACAAAGCGAATTCCAGAGTGCTTGCACACCTTCAAGTTCATGTGTGCAGACGGCAATCTGTTGCAAATGACAATTGGCCAAATTGCAATGGGGTACCTGTTGCGGTGCGCAGCCTGCCCGGTAAACCTGTTCCCGCGTGGGCTTCGGTCTCCGCTCGACAGGTGAGCCTACGCGGTCACAACACGGTTTGCCCGCCGCTCTCCGTCCCCAGCCGGGCGCAAGGTGACTCGGGGCGGCCGCTTCCAGACCGTCTCCGCGCCCAGTTGTCCGATTTGGCCCGTGGCGTGTTTCTGGCGCGCGGCACGGCCGCCGGGCCCGCGTCCGAACCCGTGTCTAGCTGGCGGATTTGTGATTGTGGCTTCCGCGCAGGTGTTCTGGCGGTTTCGCGGCAGCCGATCGTCCCCACCACCCAGTTTTCGAACACCGGTGAGCGCCCCCCGTCATGCAGCTGATCACGCCGCCTGGCAACATACCGCCAGTGAATGCAGCCGCCGTTGAGTCTGCCGCTCGTCCTGAACGGATCCGGCGCAAATTGCGTGAGGTCACGAGCGTCGGAGTGCGCTACAGCAACTATGTTCACCATTTTCCGGTATCCGCGCCTTCGCCGTGGATCCTTTGGATGCATTGCCACACAACAGCCGTCCCTCTGCAAGCTGCGACAGATCCAAGGCGATGGGAGACGGTCGCTCACCCCCTTTTGCCTACCTGCGGCCCAGCTCAGCCCCCATCTTGCTCGGACCGCGTTCCAGGCAGGCTTGCTGGTCTTTCTGCCTGCCCTACGGCCGCCAAACCAACTGGGCGGCTGTGCCCTTGAACCCGTGTGCTCCGGCTGGCGGCCGGCCGTAACATCACCATAATAAATTTAATCCTGTTCAACGCTGTTGGGATAAGCTTCCAGCCAACGTCAGTATTCGAGTTTTTGTCTGGTAGTGCCTTTCGGCTGGATCGCTGAGAGCTTCTTGAACCTCTGTGTATTGTCCAAGCACCTGGTGAGGCAGGCGTTCAAAGGGAGGCGAACAAAGACCGCCGCTGAGGAGACATGAGGGATCGGGAACGTGATAGGGATTATCGGCGTGGCGAAGGAAGGTACCCACAGTTCTGCAGCCCCATGTGCAACACACCCTGCTGTGCCTGCTCACAGTGCAACCCCAAGCCTGTGTCTAGCTGCCTTTGACTGTTTGTGTTGGCCTCACATGTAGCCAGCTGGTTGGAGTTGGCTCCGGAGCTCTCGGAGTTTGGAGCTCTGAAGTGCTGGATGGCTCCGGTGTCTGTTGGAGAAACGTTTTCCACACATGAACCGCCGCAGCCAGGCGCACACAACCGCTTGCACACACACCACTCTCTGGCTGAGAGTCTGCCACATTTTCGTGCCAAAGCAACCACCGCGGGCAGCAGATGGCGAGGGGTACACCAGGTGCTTGAAGCTGGCATGTCTTGCCAGCTCTTTTGGATTTTTCAATCCAAGACGCGCAGCGTGCCTGGCGGTTGGCGTCTCAAGACAGCGACTGGGCTGGGTGGGAGGAAGGCTGTGCGGACGATGAGGGGCGGAACCAGCTGCCATGTTGGCAACAGTGGAGCGCTACATGGATGCGCTCACGATCATAGAATAGGGGAGGCGCTTGCACTCGGGGCATTGGGGAACTAGGAGCGGAGCACGTGGGCACGGAGGGGGCTTTGGAGCGCCCTGGGAGGACTACAGACGTATGGTCCCTGTTGGGTGTCATGGCTATGTCTTTTGCCAAAAACTTGGTTGTCATTTTGGCCGCCTGTTTTGTGCCAGGTCATCAGTCATGCAACAATCTCCTTGTTGAATTACAGGGTTGGATGTTGAGGGAATGGAATCTGCAAAATCCGTTACATGTTTGTCCTTGCCCATCCATGCGCTGTGAAGCATTGGCTCAACATTTGTAACAGAGTACCAGGGTGCAGCTACTGCTATTCTGGTGTTAGACAGGGCCATGGGACATTGGTGACTCATCAGTGGAGGCACAGCATTGCCTAAGACGCCCAAGTACTGTATTCCTTGCATTGGCAAATGTACTACTTGGAACTCAATTTCTCATGTACTTAAGACTGGCAAGTTGTTTCCTTCTTGCAGGGAGCATGACACAAGCGGCAGAATCGTTTACGTTGGAAACCTCCCCTTGGACGTCAAACACAGGGAGCTTGAGGACCTGTTCTACAAATATGGTCGTATCAGGAACGTCGATTTGAAATTGCCACCAAGACCCCCTGGGTTTGCCTTTGTGGAGTTTGACGACCCAAGGGATGCCATGGATGCTGTAAGGGGAAGAGATGGATACGAATTTCTTGGCAACAGACTCAGGGTATGTCCCAGTTGTGACATTATTTTTGCAGGATCCAATGCCCAGAGGTGGTGAAAATCACTTCATTTCATGCTCTGGGCACCTCAAAAGTGTTGCTATGTCTTGCAAGATTTGTTATCTTTTATGTTCCGTTGGATTTGGGGTATGGGAAGGGGGTGAAAATGCTGTTGGGTTTGTCCTTCTGCTGGCTGATCGTCGACCAAGAAGCCTTTTTTCTGTCAGGCTTCTTGGTTTCGATCTTGCTGCTCAGCGGAGCAGGTTCATGAGCGTGGATGTTGAATTTTGAGAGTGGAGGAGGATACGAGCCAGATGTCAGTTGCCGTTCTTGTGGCACATGCTGGGCAAAGTCCTGTCGTGGAATGTTGCGATTCCCGACATCAGATGCCGAATCAGGCATGCTGTTTGTGCACCACTCCAGGTGGAAGTTTCCCATGGTGGCGGCCGTGGATACTATCGTAGCCAAGGCTCTGCCACTTACGGCATGTCTCGCAGGACAGAGTTCAGGATCATAGTGACTGGTTTGCCCAGCTCTTGCTCTTGGCAAGACCTTAAGGACCACATGCGGAAGGCTGGTGACGTCACATTCGCGCAGGTGATGAGGCCCTCCAGAGGCTATGACAAGGTATGGCCTTAGCGATGGTGAGATGGGGGGCATGCTTATTAGCCGATTGCTGCAACTGTGGGGAAGAGTGCACAGACTTGTGGATGTTGGTCTGCATGGTGTTGTTGCTGGTCACATTGGTGGATTATCAACATGCATTTTGGTGCAAACCACCGAGTATGTGCACAGATGCAATTAACACGAATTGGCAGGTGTTGTGCACCTCCATCGTCTTTTTTGATGCTCCCTTTGTTGGAGATTAATTGCCACCTTTAGTTTGAGACCACCCCTGTATAATGTTTGGTTTTCTTTTTGTTTTTGAGACTCGAACCCAGATGCCTACTATTACCACATACAATGCCATTCAGAAGTCGCAGATAGCGCATGAATGCACAGGTATGGGAGCACTTCAGTCCAATGTGACTCAGGGCAAAAAGTCAAGAAGTCACAGGATACTGCTGAAACTTCCCAAAAGGGCATCCCAGAGTCCACATTCCTATGGATCCCATGGCAAGAGGTCAATAAACAGATCCTTTTCGGGACCTGGTCTTTCCAAGTGTGGTGTTGCATTTGATTTTTGGATTTGTAGTGATGATGTAGACCAGCCTGGCCAAATGGCGACTTGTTATTCTGGATCTATAGGTCCGGACAGAGGAAATGCTTTCAGGACATGGCACATGATGTGTCAGAAAGGGCCATTGGCACAGATATGTGCACTTTGATGTGAGCAAGAGACTTGCTGTGCTAACTTTATGAAACGTTCCATTCATGTGTGATTCATATGTGGGATTCCCACTAATGGTGTGAGGATGAATCCGAATTGCATTTATCCTGTTGAGATCTTGACTGTTGTCTTGCACGCTGGGCGTCCAGGGTATGAGGGATCGCGATGGGATGATGGGTCTTGTGGATTATGCATCATATGAAGACATGAAGCATGCCGTTCGCAAATTGGACGACTCGGAATTCCGCAACCCTTTCGACAAGAGCTTCATTCGTGTTCGTGAGGATCGCGGGGGCAGGTACTCCATGCCCCGCTCTCGTTCTCCAAGGTCTCCTCGATCGCCCAGATCGCCAGTCTCCAGCCGCAGCCGGTCCAGGTCCCACAGCCGGACTCGAAGCAGGAGCAGGTGTGATGGCAGCATCAGTGCCAACCAAAGCTGTTAGCAAGGGGAATTGTCTTGCTATGTTTTGACGAATGTGGCAAGTCCAGCTGATATTCAATGCCGATCGGGAACTGCGTGAATCGCAACAGAACCAGCATGCTACTATCTGGGATTGGCGAATCAGTGTGCATCCTCACCCTGGCATTGTTATGTAATGTACCATCCACTTAATGTGCAAGTGGTTTGCGTGAGGTTTCCATCTGCAGCTGCGATTGATTCTGATGTCCAGCAGTTGTGTTCTACTTGTTTTGTAATACTTTGAATTCACAATGTGCATGGAATGGCAGCTGTTTTTTTTGAGATGTTCACTCACTGGTTTGCTATATTCATGCAAATACAGTCAGAAAGATCAAGTTGCGTGGGGTACAGCCCTGAGACATGCGCCAGCACATGTTCCGCACTGTTGTATGCAGCCCAACTCGGGTTGGCCAGTGATTGACCCATGTTCATCGGGGTGAAGCAGCCCCGGCAGAACTTGACGTTTGATTTGGTTTGGTCGCATCTGAGTTCTTGAACTTCAAATGGCAGTTCGGGCCAATACCTTGTGGGTTCTATTATTGCGTTCCAATGCTCTACACCTAGCTGGATGTATTTTGCCAGTATAACTGAATGTTGTCACAGAGTGTGCATTCAGTTCTTGTGATTGGCTTGGTCCTGCGCCTTCACATTGATGGGAATGATGGTCTGTACCCACAGAGGCAGAGATGCGTCACGGAGCTCAGCTGGTCGCAGCAAATCCAGGTCACGCTCTGTCTCTGCAAGGTCTGTTTCAAAGGAGAAGCAAGCTCGCAGCCCGTCCAGGTCAGATGGCAATGTCAACGGCAGGCGTCGATCCATCAGCAAGAGCCCCGCACACTCTCCAGTGTCCTCAGCAAGCCCTCTGTCCAAGCCTTGAGATGCTCTACTTTGGCTTTGGCTGCATCCAGGCATTGTGACCTGTCCGCAGTGCATGTGCACCCATTCCTTGCTGCAGCCGTTTGGCAAAGGAGTGTGGGCACAGGCTGACTGCACGACTGAGCCGCTCTTGTGATGCTGAGTCCCTGGCTTTGGCTGCATTCATCCAGGTTGACCAGTGCATTGTGCCCTTGCACCATTGTGCCCCTTCCTGGGGGTGATGATTGGTGCTTGGCTGTGGTACATGCTGTCTGGACGGTTGAACCTTTGAACTGTAATATGATGAGGGGAAGCCTCCTTTCTGGCCTGACTTGCATGTCACTGGTGAACTTGGCCTTCTTGTTCATCACCAAACTATTTCGAGATTTGAACTATTTTTAGAGGGTCGGTGTGAATGTTGCGGAACAGCTTGACAGGGGATTGGGGCATCGATGTTGTAGGCAGGCCCCACCTATCTCGATAAGTGGATCCGACAAAAAGATGTGTAAGAGAGCGGCTGCGCAGCACCTTTGCTTCCTTTGCCTGTCTGAGTGTGGTGTTGTACAGTGCACTGATGCCTCTCTTTCTCTCACTGGTGTTTACAAACGCACATGGTTTCGGAGCCAACCCAACAATACCTGCGCAACCATTCTCAGAGGGACACAAGGATCAGAGCATTACGGCACATGCTCTTCAAAAGCCGACTAACCAAGTCAAAGAGAGACGTCACAGCAAGTGTCAATGGCCTTTTGTCCTTCAATGAGCAAATGAATGCAATGTCCATGAAATGAATGCAATGTCCATGTGATGTTCTTTTGCAATCCACAGCGCCCGGTCCCGCCTCGATAGTCATGTCCGAGTCACCCAGCCACCCACAGCCGTGCAACCGAGTAGACACGCGGCATCCCGTTCGTACCCCTTTCTCTGGTAAAATTGTTGTCATTGTCCTAAGCACTAAGTACTAAATGCATTGGACCGTAAGTGCTCATTGTGCCTAAATGGGCCCACACAGCCGATGAGTCACTGACCCATCACCAGCGCAGCAGCCCGACGCCCACCTCGAGCCTTGGAGTCCCCTGCGCTCAGCTCCTCTGAGTCGATCCGCGCTGTGCTCTCCCAAGGCCAGCTCCCTCCTCCCCAGGCACCCCGGAGCCCGCCCCCCGCCGCCGCCATGGAGCCCCGCGCACCCCTTAGGGCCGTACGCATCGCCGGCGCCGTTCTCACCTTCATTGGCTGGGTGGTCACGATCAGGGGCCTCGTCACCGTGGCCAACTCACTGAACGACGACTGCACCGGGCGGGAGTGCGAGGAGGTGGATACGTACTGGTCCTACCTGGCCTACCAGATATTCGTGCTGGCCTGCGTGGCGCTGTCTGAGGCATTTGGCGGCGCGGAGTTCACGTGCCTGTCGCTGCTGGGCCTGTGCATGGTGGCATCCTGCCTGGACCAGTGGGCCGCGGACATATTCCGGACGGGCGTGGATTGCGGTAACCTTGCGTTCGCCGGCTGGACGGTGATGGCTGCCGGCGACATCTTGATGATCATCGGCCTGGGGTACAAGCGCGTGGTGGACCTGAAGGCAGGGATGTCTGGGCGGGCCGGCGCCGAGGCCGGAGCGGCGAAGGCGGGCGGCGAGCCGCTGATGGCCAGCGACTGCCCGGCGAGCGCGAATGGCCCCGGAGCGGCGGCGGATCCCCCCCCGACCGAGCAGGAGCTGCCGCAGGACTTCGAGCACGGTCGCTGGGTGTACCCGGTGATGGCGCTGATTGCGCTGGGCGGCTGGCTGGTGGCCGTGGCCGGCGCGCGCAAGTGGTGCGACGACTTCGACTGCGCACCGCTCAAGTTCTACTGGTGGATAATGGCGCTGGAGGCGGCGGTGCTGCTGTTCGTGTTCATCATGAGGGTGATGGGGAGGCTGACCCCTTGGACGCAGGTGGCCACGTTCATGCTGGCCATGCCCACCACCTTCCTGGCGATCTGGTCCCACAATTTCGTGCACCTGGCGCGAGAGGAGTTCCCGGACGAGAAGTCGCTCAGGGCGGCCGCCGGCGGCACCATCGCGCTCGCCGTCACCAACTACCTGCTGGCGTTCACGTTGGGCTTCCACATGAGCACCAGGGCGCTTCGAACACCACCCAGGTGAGGAGACGTTGCTGCAGCTGTTCGTCAGCTGGCATGGAAGCATGGCCGCTGCAAAGTGTTGCACCTCGGTCCTATGCCGATTGAATTCCAAACGTTGGCGCGATGGGACGCTCGTCTATATGTGATTTGGCACAAGGCCCGTATTCTCTTCTGTTGGGACGGGGGCGGCGCATTTGGACACCCAACTTTCTTGCGGGGTGGCGCGAAGCCCGCAACTCTTCTGCTTGGCAGGGAGGGGCACCTGGGCTCTTGAGTGTGGTGCATTGCTTTCGAATTGAAAACGGGCATTCACCACCTGTGCAATGCCAGTGCTGTCGATCTCAACTATGCAAATAATGACCAAGTGAGGGCATCCCACTGTGCTGCAGGTGGGCAAGCATTGGCCGGGTGCTCATGGTCCTCTTGGGCATTGCTGGGCTGGTCATCGCGGTGGTTGGCGTTGTGCGGACGCGGAACTACCTGTGCAAGGACAACGACGAGCTCTTCGACGAAGAACTGTTGTGCAACAAGTTCCGCCTCTACTGGTGGTTCTTCGTGCTGGAGGGCGCAGTCCTGACCGCGTTCTTCATCGGCCTCTTCGCGCACCTCAAGGCTGGCTGGGCGTCGGTGACGCTCACCTTTGCTGCAGTTGCGGCTGTCTGGCCAATCCTGGTGGCAGATGAGTTCCGGGTGTTCCCCTCTGTAACGGAGGGCACCCGGGACGAGCAGGGTTTCGAAGGCCACCTCATCATGGCCGTCGCCTTCCTCGCACTGGTGGTGCTCGAGATGTTTTGATGGTATTGCTGGGCGATCTAGAGGACTTGGGCGACAAGGAAATTAGCTGTGAGGAGCAATGTATTTTCAATGGGCGTCACGTGCGCCAGTCTCTTGGGAAATCTGGTGGTTGGAGTGGGTTAGCAGGGGAGATGTGGGGCACCCAGTGGCTGCCAGGTGGGAGTGGTGGTCGCGCGGCTGGTCCTGTGGGTGTGTGTACAATGTGTTCAGGGCGCTGAGAGGTCGCGTTCAGTTTTCAGATGGGGATGGTGAGCAGGGGTTGCAACAAGGGGTTTTTGTGTGGGTGTTATTTGAAGGCCCAGGGTGCCAAGGTTGCTCATCTTGAGTTCTTTGTGGCATGTGGGACCTGCAGCAAGAGTTGGGGTTGTACAGGTTAGGCATGATCATGTGTACATTTTGTATTGTTGGGCTCCTCTTTTTTTCCCATGGCGGCTGTCACGTTTTTTCAATCAGAAAACGTTGATAGCTGTACAGGACTATGTTTTGGCCCAGAGTACAGGGTGGGTGGGTGGAGGGGACACAGGGGGCGGGTGGAGGGCAACCAACCCAATGATTGAGGCAATGGCAGAATCGGACTCGCACCAGCAAGTTGTTTTTTGTTTCAATGACCTATATTGTGTGCTATTAAGGGAAAGGATACAAACGAGTAGAAAATGGTAGGTGGTTGCACGGTGAAAGCGTTCTGAGAACATTCAATCCCTATCCGGGTACATTTAATAGAATTGCGCGGGGAAAGTGAAGGCGCAGCAGATTTTCTGTGGTGGAAGTCAAGCTTGGGCGAAGATGCCAAATGTTGTGCTTCATGGGCAATTTGGGCAAGTCAAAAGCGACAAGGACTCATCATGACGAAATAATGCAAAGTGGGGTGGACACCAGCGCACAGATATTGTCATGTTTGCGTGAGCCGCCCTTTGTGAACGATGGATGGACACTTTGTGGTGTGCATTTGGCATTGAGCGATGCAAGCATTGATGAGGAAAGAAACCGCTCTGATTGCATTTGTCGTCACATGACAATGCACGCCCCTTGAGCCTAGAAGGCGATGACCGACATTTTTGCCTCGCTGAGTGTTTGCTCTGTGTGTCTGTATGTTCACAGCCAGTGCCTATCAGCACTTTATACCCACTCGCCCCTAACTATGCGCAGCCACAAGAGACAGCCCATGGAGGATGTGCCTTGCCCAATATATTCCAACTGCACAGTACCGCGATGTACGTCACTGTTCTGTCATTCCCTGTCACAATATCAACCCTGTGAATACACCGCATGCACCACAGGTGCCCCATCTCCCTCCTTGATACTTCCTTCGTCTGGAATTGATTGTCCTTTATAACTTCGACGCCCTACTTCTCCATCAGGGAAGCTTTGGTTTTCGATAAAAGCTTCTTCCTGAGCTGTGCCTACGTGTTCGGAATACATGGTCAGAAAATCAAGTCAATCCGTTTGACGGATTGACAATACTTAGGGAAGACGCTATTTTGATTTTGGTACGCTTAACGCCAAATTGACGTTAAGCACAGACGCCCCCTACCCCCCCTTCTTAGCGCCAACCCTTGTTTCGATCCCACGATGACTCAGCAACATTGCCTAACGATGCCATACACCTTCAAGACAAGTTTGGGGCAAAACCAGCCAGAATTGTAGCGATTGCAGTGACTTTAAAAATGGAATGCCAAGAGCGATAATGGGCGATGACAGCAGCCCAAAAGCCTGAAAATTGGTCGATTTTAAGGACTCCCTGGATGTTTGGAAGTTTGAGGGAGGTTTTGCAACAATTTATGAGTTATTGGCGGCTGATCAATGGCGTTTTTGTGAACCTTCTCACCTTATTTTGATTTTAGAGCAAAGACATAATCTCTTAGCGTCAATGGCTCTCCCACCCCACTCCACCCCCCTCAATGTCAGTTTGACGTGCAGCGTAGTAAAATCAAAATAATTGCTTTCCTTAACAAGTGTTGAGGACTTGGCAGTGTTGGTTAGCACGGGGCATACCAATAAACCCTGGATTTTGGGGTCAAAACTGACATTGGTTTCTGCTGACAGATGAGAAGCCCCAAGTACCAACGGAGGGCTGTGTTGCGTGAAGCGCACTGTGCGCTCGGGTGTTTGCCCTGGCACAATCGCTATCAATACATACATGAGGAAGTTGGTGCGCCCCAGTTTTGTGTCACAGCGCTGCAACTAAAGTGGAACACGACAGTCCTGTACAGCCCTGTACAACATGTTGCACATTTCATGAGTCACGAAAGGAGCCTCACAAGGGCTGCCGGGGGTCCAAAGGCAGCATTCATTGTGGGTGTGCCAAACATACAGTGAGGCCGCACCGAACGTCACGCCCCAACCTGATCTTACTACGGGGCATAGTCTACGCCAGACGTGGCCACTGCAGCATGCAACGCCATCCTGGCCAGCAAGGAGATTTGCCATGGCTCAAATCCAACAGGAATCAACGCTGGTGCCCGCTACGGGCGTCATGTGCAATTGCGAAGCGCGCCCATAGGGCTTGCGGGTTCCATGTACAGTGTTTCCAAAGGAAACAGACAGCAATTGAGAATTGGACAACATTGCGCATTTGTGTGGTGCGCTGAGATCATTGTCGCCCGAAAAGGAAGATTCTCATGGGACCACAGCGGGTGCTCGCAACGCAGCAGCAGGCAAATTCAGCTCCTCCAGCTTTTGTGCGAGGTACTGCCTGGCGCCCTGGTCGCTCAGGCTGCTCCAATCCAACTCCATCACCATCAGCACCCTGAACCCAACGGCTTCCAGAAAGTGGCTTCGCCACAGCGATGGCCCGGGAAGCGGTGACTCTGTGTTGACAAACAAGTGAGCCTGCCGGAAGATTTCGACAGCGATCCGGGTGCCGTCCCGAAGCGTCGCAATGCTGGCCATGATGGGTCCCTCGTGGATGACCTGACATGGGTGCGTCTCATATCCCATGTCTCCCAGGACCTGCAAGACGTCCACCATGTCTGGATGCACTGGCCTGCACCGTTGACCCTCCCTCCAGTCTTCCCTGGCCATCTGAGCCAGATCCTCAGGGAGCATGTCCACAGGCACTTCCACCTTGGCCACGTGCTGCAAGTGAATGAGACACTGATGCATCTGGCGCCTGGCGCTGGGTCTTATGGCGGGGCTTCCAAACGAGCACATGTGCACCAAAACCTGCTTGAGGAAAGGTAGATCCAGCTGGTTCACCATCGCCAACGACCATGCAAAAGCAGAGGCATCTTCCAGCGATGCCCCTGCCATGCATTTGGCCATCTGCGCTTTCATTTCCCTGATGAGAGCAACATCCTCCATGCCAAAGTAGGCGACAAAATACATCGCCTGAGACAACAACCCCGCGTTCAGTTTGCCCGCATTGTCCCGCAGGTAGGCTGAAACCTGGCTGAGCAGCACATCTGGGGGCTTGTACCGATAACGGGCGAAGCTGAAATTCAGCCCTATGATGTCGGCATCCATGAAAAGCTTACCCACAGCTACTTTGTACAGGGCTTCCTTCACGATGGCATTGAATATGCCTGTGCAGCCCGGGACCGCCAGACCAGTCAAACCCCACACGATAAAGGTCAGGTCTTGTGTGGATGTGTCCTGCAGGTGTGCCCAGCAGAGCTCCTTGGCCTTCTGCATGCCTCTGGGCACCTGCAGGCACAAAGGCCGTGCATGGAGCATAGCCAGTGACCACAAGATGAGGGCAACGTCTGCGACTTGGAAATGGAGCGACTCAACCTCCAGACGCTTCAGGGTCGCCTGCACAGTTGCCTCGCATTTGCGAAAGCCCATTTTCGCAAATGCCCACAGCGAGGTGGACAACTGGGAAGGGTTATACAAGCGCCCACCACCAGCGATGCATTGATCTGCCAGCCGCAAAAATTCGTCACCATAGAGGCCCGGCAACGATTCAAGGCCACCTCTAAGATCGCCAGCAGCCCCTTCCAGACCCTCTCCCGCCTCTCCATGTCCATGCTGTGGGCAGAGCATGATGAGTCCCACCAAGAGAGCCGACCAATGACGATCCAACATGAAGTCCTTGTTCAGCTTTGCTGCCAGGACAAGCTTCTGCAGAACTTCGTTGCCAGACACACCTGACGGTGTCCGCACCAATCTCACCCCAGGTCCCAGCCTGCCCAGGGCAAATACCGTGGCGGCGATCTGGCGCGCCCTGAACGTTGCGATGTTCGTGTCAACATGGTGCAACATCTTGCCCACAAAATCGCTGTGGTGCTGCAGCAGCCAGTGCTGCACACCAGCCAGGCTCACCAGGCGTGCAAATTTCTGAATTAGGGTGGAGATGTTCACATAATCTATGGTGGGCTTCTTGAGGTACTTGATATATGTGCCAGCCAGGTCTCGCAGGATGTGCTGAGCGTTCTTCACCCTGTAGCTGGATGCCACCAGGTGCATCTCGGCAAACTCTGCAAGCATGATGATTTGCCTGTTGTTGTACACGGGTATGCGCCATGGATCAATTTGAGGCCATTTTGTGGGGTCGTTGAGCCGCTCCTGCATTTCTTGGCTTGTGTACTTTCCAACAGTGGGCCCTTCTGGGGCTGCCGGTGTCTCCTCAATCAACTGTGCCCCAAGCGCGCATAATTCCCAGTCAGCACACTGGGTCCAATAGGACAACAATTACTCATCAGGCTGAGGGACAATTTGGGCATTTTGTTTCAATCTATTTCAGGCAGTATTGTGAAGGCACAAGATCACCAATTGCCAATTAGAACACCTGTGTGCCCCAAAACGAAAGCCACACTGAAGATGGGGGAACACGAATGCCGCCATTAACACTGTCCGTCCTGTTGGATAAATTCAGCCCATTCCTTCCAAAGGAAAGAATGCCCATTCCATTTGTCAAATTTGCATTTCCAACAGGTGCAAGTGCATTGTCCTGGAAGTAATTCCTGCACTCCCCCAGATTTTTTGGGGGGTCTAGGGATCATCCTGAGATGATTCTTAACGAACCTTATTCTATATTACAGAACCGATTTCTTGCAAACCATCGGTTTCCATCAGGTGTGTCTGCATTGTCCTGTTGGACATGCATTCACATAACCATTGCTGTGAGCATTGATCACAAACCCCTGTGGTTTCTGGCGCAAAATACAGACTACAGGGCCCAAATGCTGCAGGGATCACAACAGAAGGAGGAGCTGATCATCTTGTTGGGAAAGCTGTGATGCACTGCATTCTTATCTCAATCCTCTCTCCGGGCGTCATGTTTCACCGAACAGAATTCGCCCCCAAGCCAGCAGCACACGCCGTCTCCCCCCTTCCGCACAGTGCAGCCCCCGAGCCCAAACAATTTCGATGCTCACCGCGGTCAGCGCTGTCGCCTTGCTCGTCAACGAGCTCGTGACCGGGCTGGAACGCACGCGGCCACCTCCTAACACTCCTCTACGCCACCTCCAGGCGGACGACCGCAAAAACAAATTTCCGCCTCGGCAACCGGCCGCCCGAACCGCGACGTGTGCCCTCTCTCCGTGGCGCAATTCTGCATGGCCCCCTCACCTCCGAATCGCCACCACCGTCGTGGATCGTCGTTCCCCCGTTGATGTGGCGCCAGCCGCCCCTCTCGCTGAAGGCCGAGATTCCGTTCCAAGGGCCGCCCTTGCGGCGATCGGTGGGGGAGGCGATCGCGCGGCAGTTGGCCGACCACAGCGCCGCGAGTTCCTCCAGCGCCAGCCAACCGCCAAGCGCCCGCACGCCTGTCTGGGCCATCGCCACAGGGGTCACCAGTGGCAGAAGGGGTCCAGTGTAGCGAGCTGAAGGGTCATATACCAAACCGGGCATGCAGATCCCCTGGTGTGGATGGGGCGCCCGGGGGTGCGCACAGACACCTTGCTTCGGGTCAACACTGCCAGCTGGAGCCGCAGGGCCTTTGTGCTGAAGGGAACGAGCCGTTGTGTCCTAACTTGCTTTTTCTTTTTTTGATATTGTCTTACTTTCTATCAATAATATATTAGCATTTGCTTATTTTTTGACAGTTTGTCAATGATAAGGTCTCTTATTTATTAATAACGATGGGGCGGTACACAAATGGAAACCAGGTTGCAGTCTTGTCCAAGGCAGTACCATTGCTGGCACGTCGTTGCTCGCTTGGCACGAATCATGCACGTGTTGACGACGTCTCCGAGGGCTTGCTTTCCTTGGCTTCGCCAGCGCCGCGTTTCAAAGCACAGTCGGCTGTTCTGCCACGATGGCTCGACACCTTCAGACTGCGCCCTCAACCCCAAACAAGCCCGCCTGGCCACGTGATCGGCCCACAGCTGGGAGCAAAGACCTCACAGCGTCGTCCCCCGCTGACACGGCGCAACCGCCGGGCCATCAAAGTATCGTTACGTCACCCACCGTCACGCCGACGTGTCGCCGCCGTCACGCCACCGCCAGCGGCCCCACGGGCCCTTTTGGCCGCTCGCCCGCTCTCTCCCCGGTGTCTTCCTGCTCGTAGCTGTGCACCCCGCCCCCGGCGCTCCCTCTCGACCGCGAAGACGCAGCAAGTTTTCCGCCCCCCATCCCCTCTCCAAAGACACCCCACCCCACCCATCCCAGCACTCGATCCCGGTCCGCATCATGGGCACCGTCCCCGATGGCGACCAGGCCGGGCTGCCCAACGGCGGGTTCACCACGCCGCCCAGTTCCCCCCCGCGCGTGGAGCAGTCCCTGTTGGACATGATCGCGCACCAGCCGCGCGCCCCCAACCTACACGGCCTCCAGAGACTGCAGAAGAAGGCCCCCGACGCGGGAACGGCATCCAAGGAGCTGGAAGGCATGGAGCGATCCCTGTCGGCCACGCTCACCAGCGTGGCACGGCGCCGCGGCCCCACGGTCACGCGGGGTAGCCTGCCGGCGTCGCCAAGGGATGAAGAAAGCGGTTTTCTGGCCAACCACTGGCCGGCCAGCGACGCGGGGCTGAAGCCCACCACCGTGTTCCACAACCTGTCGCCGGCGGAGCTGTACGAGAAGGCGCTGCAGTTCGACCGGAGCGCGCACGTCGTGTCCAGCGGCGCACTGGCGGTGATCTCAGGTGGGCATCTCGAGTGTGGGGTTAGCTGGTGGGGGAGAGTGGCCTTTGAAGCTTTAAAAGTTTTTGATGGAGGGTCGCGACAACGCGGTGCTCCGGTACGCCCGCGGTGCGGGGCTCGCTCGCGCGCCGCCTTGGGATGGTGCGCAGATCTCCGAGCGCAATTGGGCTGATGAAACAAACGCGGCCGAGCGGCGTGGTGCATGGGACAATCGGCGAGCTGGGGATGTAACCGGCTCCCTCAGATTGGATCCTTTGCGCGGATCTTGCCGACGAGGTCCGACTGGCACGGCGAGCGGGATAGAATAGATAGATAGGGGCGGCGGCGCGGGCCCCGCGGGCTGCATGAGCCTTGGCGCTGCGCCGCTGGACAGTTCTGGCGGTTGGGGTGGGGCGCCGGGGCTGTCTGTTCCCCGCCGGTGGCGTGCCGTCGCGTGTTCCCCCGGGCGTCGGGGGCGGACCCAAAGGCGTCGTGCTGCGGGGCGCCAGGGATGGCGGTACAGGCTTTCGGACGTGTACGATACGGTACAGTATCGCTCGAGCGACCGCAAGCACGTCAGTGTGTGGGGGCGCGTGACGCCGCGTGCGGGGTATCGCTTGGCGTGACGCCGTAGGTTAGGGGAATTCGAGTGACGGGGGAAGGCGCCACGCGACCCAAAATCCAGGGTCCATGCCGATGACGGCATTCTGACGAAGGCAGGTAGGGTCCAGGGGGAGAGTATATTAGTCCCTCTGTCTTTTCCGTGAGGGTCCTTCTGCTTCCGCGGTGAAGCCTACCTGTGTCAGTGTGTCAGTGTGTCAGTGTGTCAGTGGGTCGGTGGGTCGGTGGGTCTGTGGGTCGGTGTGTCAGTGGGTCGGTGGGTCGGTGGGTCGGTGGGTCGGTGGGTCGGTGGGTCGGTGGGTCGGTGGGTCGGTGGGTCAGTGGGTCGGTGGGTCAGTGTTTGGTTGAGGGTTTAGGGCGCCAAACAAGCAGGGATCTTCACAGAAAAGAGAGAGGGACTAATTTCATGCCGTCGAGGGGTGCCGACCCCTGACCGGGGACCGTAGGCTCGAGCACACGGCAACAGTTTACAGCGGAGCAAAGGGACACGGGAATTCTATCCCTCGTATCCGGTCCGTTCATTTTTGTCCTTGATTCAGTTCATATTGTCTCATGACGTCTCAGTGCATCCAGCTGTTAATAATACTCATCCAATTCTGACTGCAACAGTGCGTTTGTAACGCATGAACAGTAATGCCCTCTCGCCTCGAAGGTGGTGGCGGGCGTGGCAGCTGTATTTATGCCGTGCTTTTGGTTTGGCCGTTGGTCAAACCATTTCTGTGCCAGAAATTTACGGCGCAGGGCGCAGGGCGACTTACTGCCCTCGCACCTACTCGGCGGTGGCCTGTGCAAGGTAATGAGGCGGCGATGCGCTGTGGACATCCAATCATCACCTTGCCGAATGAAGTCAACAATTTGTAGATGCAGCGAGGCGGGACAAACCGCCGCGGTGACGGCATTGCTCACGGACTTCGCCAGCGTCGCAGACAAACAGAGACTGATTCCGCCATGTTTGCAAAAAAACAGTTTTAAAGAGAGCACTTAGACATGCCCCACCTTGGGACGCTGCAATCGACAGTTGGATTTCGCTACAGGTGCGAAGACTGGCAGGAGCCCCAAGGACAAGCGCGTGGTGCGTGATGGGGAGACGGACGCCAACGTATGGTGGGGAGAGGGATCCCCGAACCTGGAGATGGACGAGCGGTCGTTCCTCATCAACCGAGAGCGGGCAGTGGATTACCTCAACATACTCGACCATGTGTACGTCTTCGATGGGTTCGTGAACTGGGACCCGGCACATCGCATGAAGGTGAACCGCGCGTGGCTTTGGGTTGCACGTGTGCAATTTTACGTATTTGTAAATTACATATTTGTATCCATGTACTGTGCGGTGCAGTCGACTGGTTTGAGGAGGTAAAGCACCTGATCAGCGGAGCGTGGAATCGAAACAGATTGGCATCTCTACTGAAAAGAGGAATGTCGGATTGAAAATGAGCAACCGATTGGTGGGCTCTACTGCCTTCCCGGTCGCATTCGCCACTGTTCCTGAAGGCATTTGCCTGCTGATCTTGATGGAAGCTCACGCAGTGAAGAGGTTCCCAATTCGTTGCATTCGGCTTGCCGCATCAGAACCAGGACTGGCTGTTCTTTCGCGCGTTCCTGTTGAATTGGGGCCAGTGGAGGCCAGCGACTAGCTACAATCAATTATCCGACTTAAATTCATTGTTGGTCGTTTGCTAAAAGTTTGAAAGACATTGTTCACTCACATCAACCAAAGGCATGCGGCAGGGGATGGCAGAGCATCAACTTTAACATTTTACCATTTAATCACTTTCATCACGGTTCTCCCGTGCAGGTCAGGGTGGTGTGCGCCCTGGCGTACCACGCGCTCTTCATGCACAACATGCTCATCCGTCCCACCCGGGAGGAGCTGGAGAACTTTGGTGTGCCGGACTTCACCATATACAATGCAGGACCCTTCCCCGCCAACCGGTGAGAGGGCATCAATCGACGTGATGCACTACGGCTACCTAAGCTGAAATTCATCTGCTGAACTATCATTGGAAGAGATTGATGCCTTTTGAGCAAGGCCACGAGAAAACCTAACTATACTTTGGCTCAGTTTTCATATTCAAAATACTGAAAGAAGTCGTTGAATCTTGCGTGGATAGAAAATTTACTTGAAAGTTTCCTTCTGAAACGGGCGTTTAGGGCCCCGATTCCTTCTGCTCTTGACGCCGGTCTGGCGACGCGCTGGCCCCGTGCCTCGCCCTTCTATAAACCTTTAGCTCGCCCTGTAAGCAATTAGGGGATCAAAAAGACAATTGCGTTGCAGTAACGCATAGTTTGTGCCCCTGCTGCCTCTTAGAATAATCCACATATTACATTAGAAATTGATAGGCATCATTCAAGCATAGATATTCCACGTATCGCGATTGCAGTCGCTAGGCTTTACGTTTGTATACTGATCACATCAATATGTGCCAATAGCGATTGTATGGAGCTCGTAGCAAATCGGCCACTAAAGCCATAGCAATGCCGACAGTGACACTAGCAACAATTAATTGCTGCCAATATTGGCTGCAAAGTAACTATATGTGCAATTCTTTTGCGCTGATGAACTGAATATGAACTGACTTGGAGACAAGTACGCCATGGCATACTTGTTTCCAAGTCAGTTCTGGCCAGAAAGACTTATGAACTAATAGTTGACCACATGCATCAAACCCACGCAGGTATTCCAACTACATGTCGTCCTCCACGACGGTGGACATCCATATCTCCCGCCGCGAGATGGTCATCCTCGGCACCCAGTACGCGGGTGAAATGAAGAAGGGCATCTTCAGCGTCATGCACTACCTTATGCCCCTGCAGAACATCCTTTCCCTTCACTCCGGCTGCAACATCGGCCCCAAGGGGGATGTCTCCCTCTTCTTCGGCCTGTCCGGCACAGGCAAGACGACCCTGTCCACGGACCCGCGGCGGCCGCTCATCGGCGATGACGAGCACTGCTGGGGCCCAAACGGCGTATTCAACATCGAGGGGGGTTGCTACGCCAAGTGCATTGGGCTCAAGCCGCAGAGCGAGCCGGAGATCCACCGGGCGATAAGGTTCGACACCGTTTGGCTGAGTTTATTGCGAAACGCCCCAGTGCCTTCAACCAGTCCGTCAGTAGATCGATCAATTACTAATTACCAGTTTATCAATCATTTGGATAAAAATTATTAGCTGCATCATTAGTGAGTATCAGTTCTTGGCGAGCGGAAATCAGCATTGGAAATCCAAGCAGAGAGGGCGGGGGTGCTGTTGCACCCCAATTTTAACACGCAAGGCAGTTTCAAAAAGTCACCACGCACCCCCCCCCCCAAAGCCATATCGGGCGCCGCCGCATCCAAAAGGCAGCACCAAACACCAGTTTCACGACCCCCATGCCGAAGCCACATCCGAGACGGAAGCTTCGCCGCAAGTGCTGACTTGCACACTGCGCACTGCGCACCAGGTTCGGCACCGTGCTCGAGAACGTGGTGTTCGAGGACGACACCCGCGAGGTGGACTTCGACGCCAACAACATCACGGAGAACACGCGCGCGTCGTACCCCATCCACTACATCGACAACGTGCGGCTGCCCTGCACGGGGCCCCACCCCAAGAACGTCATCCTCCTGTGCTGCGACGCCTTCGGGGTGCTGCCGCCCGTCAGCAGGCTCAGCGAGCCGCAGGCGATGTACCACTTCATTTCGGGGTACACGGCCAAGGTGGCCGGCACTGAGGTGGGGGTCACTGAGCCGGAGGCGACGTTCAGCGCGTGCTTTGGAGGTGAGCACCCTTCCCGCGCCCATTAGCCTCGCGATTGCCAGTGACGCCCTGGCGACAGCCTCTGTTGAACTTGGGCTCGAGAAGCCGGTTGCCGGAACATGAGAATGCAGTGTCTTTGGCCTGACAGCATCCAATCTATCGATTCGATGGGAGGCATCGAGGCGATGCGTTTAAAAACATCTGGGGAGGTATTTAGGAGCATTTTAAATGACACATTTGCTACGCAATTGACTGCAAATTGTTTCTGCCGCTTTGCTATTTGTAGTGGCAAAGGTAAAGGTGTTCATGTTGCGTGGGAATGGGCAGGGCCCAAAACATCATTCGCGGGCTCCATTTCAGGCAGACGTGGCCATGTTCGTTGATAGATGCTGGTAAACGCTGGCGCGTTAAGGTGCAAATGGTCAACCTCTGACAGATGGTGACAGACATTGCACATTGTTGGCAGACGCTGGTGGAATTTGCATTTTGCTTGCGCGACGACGAGTGAATTCAGATGGCAGCGAATAGCACTATTTTGGCGGCATTGCCACCTAATCGTCTAAGCAAGGAATTGGCGATGTATTACTCCGCAACGCAGCATCTCCATTAGAATTCGAACCGATCTGGTGGGATGAGTCCACGTGCATTAGTGACAATCCAAAGTGCCCAGACGCCATCGCACCGCTATTAGGCCCATGGCCCTTCTGCGGGATAGATTTTGCTATTCTCTGCAAGTAAAAGCACGATTTACTAAAAGTACGTGTTCGCTCGACTCAGGTGCCTTCCTTCTGTGGCACCCCATGAAATATGCTGCCATGCTGGCGGAGAAGATGGAGAAGCACGGCGCCACGGCGTGGCTGGTGAACACCGGATGGGCCGGCGGTTCCTACGGCACTGGCAACCGGATCAAGCTGAGCTTCACGCGCGCCATCATAGACGCTATCCACTCGGGTGAGCTGCTGGCGGCCGAGTACACAAACACACCAGTCTTCAACCTCAAGGTGGGTCACGCATTCTCGCCAAACAACTGTTGACCGTATTGTTCCTCTTCAATTTCTGTCACCATTCTGCTGTTGTAGTTCCTATGGCCTTCAAGTTGGAATTGACACGGTTGGTGACGGCTGGAAGGCGCACATTTTGGCAGTTGTTTTCCTGTGGCCAAAGCGAAAGGTGAGCATGATCGTGAGCTCCGAGCTGCGCGTCAAGTCAAGACTTTCACCGCATTTCATATTCGTGGACATTGCCGTTGCGAGGAGCACAAATGTGTTCCAACGACTTCATTGTAGTCGCATGACTCAGACGTCTCTGAAATCGGAAACATTGACCATCAGGTCCCAAAGAAGTGCCCTGGCGTGCCGTCGTCTCTTTTGATGCCGGAGGCGCAGTGGGCCGACAAAGCAGAGTTCCGCAAGACGCTGGACAACCTGGCAGACCGCTTCAGGAGGAACTTCGTACAGTACGAGGGTGGCGGGGCATACATCTCGAAAGATATCGCCGACAAGATAAAGGGAGCTGCCCCTGTGTGAGCATTGGTGAATGCCCAGCGTCGCGGCAGGATTTGAGGCAGTATCTGTGGGGATATCCGAATTGTGTCTAAGGAACAGAAGCCACTCGGCGAGTTGCTGATCCGAGTGCCTGGCACATTACGCCGTTTGATTAGCATCTGCTATCGTAGGGCTATCTGTTCCTTCGGCAACAACAGCCGCTTTTTTCTCGATGATTGTCAAACAGAGTTGCGCGCTTATAGCCGCAAGTGTTCATTTGGCCATTTTGTGGGTTGCCCCTCAATTTTGACTGGGGAGACGAGGATTGTCTAGGAATGATGCTCGGATTAGCTGGGAAGGGGAGGGACAGTGTTGGAGGAGCTTGGTGGATAGAACCTTCATGCTATCAGATGCGTCGACTATGCAGTGGACGAGTTTCGTTCGTTAGATTTGTTGGCGTTGCAAACGTCTTGTTACTTTTAGTAGGCATCCAGTTGCCAGTGGGTGGCCTCAAGCACCAAGACCCGGGGGCGGGCTAAGCGCGGTTCCAGCGCCCATGCACCAAGGATGTTCCCAGTGCAACCAGTTTGGTATTCGTTGCTGCGTGCGGCACAGTTTTGGGTATTGATTCGTCTAGCGTTATTCCACTGCAGAAATCTCTATAATGCCAGCTTGCCTCTGACGGGAACGCCTAGAAACTCCCAACATTGTCGTCTTCAGCGTTAGCACTGCTAATTAGCTGATGGGAGGAACGCTACAATAGATTGGTGAGGCAGTGGTGATAATTGGCTTGTAACCTCTCAATTTCTGGATTCTTGGGAGGAGGCATTGACAGTGTCCAATGGACACTTCTGTCTAGTGAGTATTCTTACCCTGGAGCATGAATTCCTTTATCTTTCAATGCAATCGCCAATGAGCAAGTGTACGGGCAATTGAGCCTTCAAGGCCATTGATTTCGCTGGTCATCTGCGTCCGGGATGATGCTTCAATCCAACAGACCACTTTCGCCCTGACTCCTTTTGTGTCTACCTTATAAACTGATCGTGTTGACGTTTACGCGTAAACAGGCGCATGACTACGTAAATGAAGTTAACTATCCTGTTAATGGGTTTCTGCCAAGGGCGACGATGGGTGGGCTGCACCGGCGATTCAAACGGTGCAGTTTGAACCTGGGGTTTACTCAACCCCGGCCCTTGGGATTTCTGGCCACCCCTAGTACCGTGGGTCAGTCAAAGTACGGTATTCCGAGGTGCCGCCCGCGAGGGCGCCCTCGAGTTTGGCGGGCTTTGGCGGGGCGGCGGGGGCGGCTATTTAGGCAGCCCCTCGGTCCCCCTCCTTATCTTGTTTCGCTTCGCGCCACTGCGTTGGCACAACCCGCAGGCACCGAGTGCCTTGTCCCTCCGGCTACGGCCGAGTCCTTTCTATGAACCGTTCTCCGGCCGAGCAGTGGCTGCACGACCAAGCGGTTCGGTTCAACGACGGTCCGCCTACGGCTTCCCTTGACGAAGTCTGGCTGTCCGACCCCCGGCTCCTACCGCAAGCGGTGACCAACCCGGTGGTCCGACCTCCGGGAGTCCGCTTCCCCGAGCGGTTCGACGTCCGCCGCACCTCCGAAGGCGGGCAGCTCGCGCAGGCCCTGGGCGCCAACTCCGGTTACTTCCAGGAGTACCAGAACTGGGCCCCCTACGTCGCGTGGCAGTTCGACCTCACTGCCGTGCTGATCGACTTCGTGGCGCACCCAGCCTTCCCGCTGCAATTCCGGGAGGCACTCCTGCCGTACGTCCACGCCCAAGTGACCATCACGTCGCGCCTTCAGAGCCTGATCCGTCTTCAACAGTTCCACGGCGAGCAGAAGGGAACCTCTCTCGACGGGCTGTGGAAAGCGCTCCAGACCAACGTGCGCTTGGGCGCGGTACATCGCCGGTTCTGGGACCCCTTGATCGACGAGCCCCTCGAGCACATCCGCAAGGAGGTCCTCAATCAACAGCTCAAGTTGGCGACGAAGTCCGCGGCGGCTCAACATCAAGCGCAGCTCAATCGCCAACCTTCCGCGGCCTCGCCCCCCGGCAGTCCTTCCTCCGGCGCCAAGCATCAGCGCCCCAAGCCCAAGACGTCCGGCGCCCCATCGGCGCCTCCCAAGCCGACCGCCTAGAGGCCCCGCCCTACGCCCGCCTCCAGGGCCGTCTTGCAGCCTGGCGACGCATCGGCGCCCCCTCCCGGGTGCTTCAATGGATCCATACAGGGGCGCCGCTCCAATGGGGCCCGGGGGGCCCTCCGCCCCCTTTCGATCAAGGCGAGTACCCGCTCAGGACCCCGACGGAATGGCAAGCTTGGCGGGAGCTGCGCGACGAGTACCTTCGGACGGGGGCGATCATCCGGACGGAGCCTTCTTCCAACGCCCGGATTTCACGCGCCTTTTTGGTGGCCAAGCCAGCGGAGAACGGGCAGACCAAATACCGTTTGGTCATCGACCTTCGGTGGATCAATCGCCACCTCAAGAAGGTCGGTCTCCCTTATGAGCGCTTGAAGGATTTCGGTTTTCTTTTGAAAAAGAATGACTTTCTGGTGGGCTTTGACGTCAAGAATGCCTACCATCATGTTCGGATGCGCGCCGATCAGGAGCATTTCTTGCTCTTTCGGATGGGTGGTGAAGTTTTTGCCTGTCGGGCGCTGCCGTTTGGCCTCTCCTTGGCCCCCTTTTATTTCACTCATGTCATGCTCGTTGTGGTCCGTTTCTTAAGGACCCCTGCGGCATGTGCACGGGCTGGAACTCGTTTTCGATTTGGCTGCTTAGCGGGTAATGACTCCATTCTCCAGTACTACCTAAAGTACTCGCGGGAGGTGCCCGCGTTGATTTTGGCATATTTGGATGATTTTATTGCGGCCATGTCTGATCCGGTTCATTTGCGGGAATGGTCCCATTTAGTGCGGCGAGTTTTTCAGGCTCTTGGCATTGAGTTCAAGCATTCCAAATGTCAGTGGGATCCGGTGCAACGGAAGACCCATTTGGGTGTGATCATTGACACTACCCGGTGCCAATTTCTGGTGCCTCCGAACAAGGCCGCTGCGATTGCTTCCCGGGCTCGCGCCCTCCTTCACTCGGGCGGGGTAGTGGCGCGACATTTGGCTCAATTCTGTGGGTCTGCCATTTCGTTGTATTTGGCCTTTCCGCTGGCCCGCTTTTTCTTGATGAGTCTGTATGAGTTATTACGAGGGAAACGATCGTGGCGGGATCGCCTTCGTTTGACCCCCCAAGCCCGCTTGGACCTTTTGGCATGGACAAACATTTCGCGCCTTGCCGGCCGGGCTCTTCACCCGGGTTCGCTGCCCTTTCTGGGCACACTTGCCACGGATGCAAGTCTTACGGGTTGGGGGGCGACGTTTCAGTCTTTGGGTCAGGCGGAGCCCATGCTTGCAAGGGGATTTTTTGATCGGGAGCTTATTCATATTAATGTTCGTGAAATGCAGGCCGTACACTTGGCCCTGCTCAGTTTCTTTCCTCACCGGTATTCCGGGACGACTTCCCGGCAGGTTCGTTTGTTGGTGGACAACCAGGTGGTTCTGCACTGTCTCCTTTCCATGACTACCAGGGCCACCAGTCTCTTGAGGCCCTTACGTCAGTTGAAGGCGGTGTGTACTACGCGCCGGATTCTCCTGGAGCCGGAGTACATTCCCTCGGCAGAGAATGTACTGCCGGACCGGCTTTCCCGTATACGGACCTCGGAGGACTACCGCCTGAATCCGCGCATATTCCAGGAGGTCGCCCGCAACTTCGGGGCCTGTTCTGTGGACCGATTCGCGTCCGCCCGGAATGCCCTCTGCGCCCAGTTCAACAATCAGTACTGGGACGTCGGTACGGCAGGAGTGGATGCTTTCCAGCAGGACTGGAGCGGCACCAGGTCCTGGTGCAATCCCCCGTGGAGCCTCCTCGCGAGGCTCGTGTCCTTCCTCGCCTTACGGCCGGAGCTGGAGGCGGTGGTGCTGGCGCCGGACTGGCCGAGCGCGGTGTGGTTTCGCCCGCTCCGAGCGATCGCCCGGGCGGAGATGTTCATTCCCCGCCAGGCCGACCTGTTTCTCCCCGGCGACCCGAGCCTTCCGGCGTCCCTTCCCCCCCCGCGGTGGAATCTCCGGGCGTTCCATGTGTGCCCGCGCAAGAGGACGCCGCGCCATCTGAGACCGAATCGGAGGAAGCTGTGATTCCGTCGGAAGCCCCGCCGGCCGACCTGCCGGCGGACGACGTTCCTTTGGAGCCGCTGGCGGAGGATGACCCGCTGTACGGCACGGATTTGGATGGCCTACTCCGCGACGATCGCTGCTGGATGGAGCGCCAATTTTTACAGTCCTACACGGAGGCCACTCGACGGACGCTCCAGGCCAAGTTCTCGCGCTTCCAGCGGTTCTGCGCGGAGCACGGCCTCGCCGCCCTCCCCGCCCGGCGGGCCTCGATCTACCGCTACATCCGTTTCCTTCGGGAGGAGGGCAAGGTGGGCGTGCGGTCGTTGCCCCAGTACCTGGCCGCGATTTCGATGATGCATCACGTCGCGGGCCATTTGGGTTTCTCGGCCTTCGACCCGGTCACCCGCATCCTCACCCGCGCTTGGCGACGGGCGGCGCCGGCCCCGGTGCAGCATCGGAGGCCGGTCCCCATTTCCTTGATGTTGCGCATCCTGGAGGTTGGCCTCACCACCGAGGACGGGCCCACCCTTCGGGCGGCGTGCGCAGCCCACCTCGACTACATCTTTTTCAATCGGGCCCAGTCGGGCCATTACATTCTGGTCGACGACGTGCGCCTCGACGCGGAGGTGGTGATCTTCCGCGAGCGCAAGACCAAGCTGCGCCCGGGGGAGGAGCCCCGGTCGCGCTATCGCTCCTGGCCTTCTCGCGGAGCACCCGAAGTCGTCGACTTGCTGCGCCGGTGGACGCAGTTCCGCGATCACGCCTGGGCGCAGACGGATCAACCGCCGCGCCATTTCTACCGCCTTCCCGGCGACGCCACCCCTTCATCCAAGACCGTGGCCTCCTGGTTCTCGTCCCTCCTCGCGCACTTTCCGGACCTCGCCCAAGAGCCGTTCACGCATCATGGCCTGCGCGGTGGGGGCGCGTCCAGTTGCTTCGCCTTGGAGGTCGCGGAGCGGCGTATTCGGGATTGGGGTGGGTGGCAGTCAGACGCCCTGTGGTCGTACATTGATCTTTTTCGTTTACCCACTGAGTGGGATTTTCGGTTGTTCGGCTGGATGACCATCACCGCCCGCGACCTGCATGAGCAGTTCGGGCACATCTTCTGTCCCGGAGGGGCCTCGAGTTCCCGTAGAGTGACTGGGCAAGTTTAAAGGACGGGAACCTCGGGAATGTGAAAGTTAACGGTGTTTGTAATTATTGTCATGGGGGTACATGACGGGGTGGGCTCAGGAGACCGGTAAGGCAGAAATGAAGTTAACTATCCTGTTAATGGGTTTCTGCCAAGGGCGACGATGGGTGGGCTGCACCGGCGATTCAAACGGTGCAATTTGAACCTGGGGTTTACTCAACCCCGTCCCTTGGGATTTCTGGCCACCCCTAGTACCGTGGGTCAGTCAAAGTACGGTATTCCGAGGTGCCGCCCGCGAGGGCGCCCTCGAGTTTGGCGGGCTTTGGCGGGGCGGCGGAGGGCGGCTATTTAGGCAGCCCCTCGGTCCCTCTCCTTATCTTGTTTCGCACCCAGCCCTCCCGCCCTGGATAGTGGAGTTCGGGTTAGTTGTGGGATGGAGAGGGAGTTGAGGGAGTGAAGTGCGGGAGAGGGAGTTGACTCATGGGGAGTCACTCACTGAAGTGGCGTTGAAGTATTAGCGAAGCGAATGGGCAAGTTTAAAGGACGGGAACCTCGGGAATGTGAAAGTTAACGGTGTTTGTAATTATTGTCATGGGGGTACATGACGGGGTGGGCTCAGGAGACCGGTAAGGCAGAAATACAGCCTCCAATACAGCCCCATGTACATAAAGACAATGTCCCAACGGGCCGCAAAACGCAAATACAGCCCTTAAGAATAGGCCCTTTTGCACATATGCGTTTTTGCGCGTAAAGACATAAACGTAGGTGTAAATGTAAACAACAACATACATTCGAATTTCCGAGCTCACAATTCATGGTATTGTCAGCTAATGTGGCTGCGAAGAACCGCGCCAAACTTGGTACGAATTTGGCGCAGTTGTTTGCAGCCAAAAGAGGATTACATCATCGATTTGAGGAAAGAAAATTACCAGGTAGGCACAATCACACAGCGCGTGTCACTCAGCGTGTCACTGTGCGAAATGGGCATGGGCTGACCGCAGACCACAGCATGGCCATATATGTCTGCTGCTTCTCGCAGGTCCGCTGCAGAGCCTTGGAAAAAATGCGCCCCAGCTCTTCAATAACACTGGCAGGATAGCAACGATGTTGGCTGTTCAATTCTCCTCGTGTTTCCTGAGTCTTTTTCCCTCCCGTTGTTGTTATGACTATCATCGTCACCATTATGTTTGCACAACAAGGCAGTGAGGTAGCCGTCAGCTTCCCATGCTGCCCGATGAAAGCAGTGTCTACGATCAGTTGCTGTCCTCATTGAGTCCGAGCGCTTGCCGAGGTGGCGATCAGATCTCTGGTGCAGCCTCGTTTGGTGCAATGGCATCGCTATTCGAGAATGCAACTTGTTCGAGCCGCCACCTCCACAAGGATTGACGTTGGGATGGTGGGGGATATGTGCTTGCAGTCGACTTGACGTCAACCATACCTTGGGCACACTAACATGGACACAGTGTCGCCCCTAACCTGGGAGCGTCCAAATATACCCTGTCAGGAAGGAAAACAAACAAATACAGATCTACACAACAGGGAGGCACGGTGGAAATGCAATTCCCAGTGGGCATCGTGTTTGACCGTCAGAACATGCAATTTGCAGCCCATTGCACTTCATGTGAGCCCAATCATTGCCTCACCCTCCGCCAAGTGAAAAGCACCTCATTTTAAATACTTAATTCTTCCCATAGCGAGGTGCCGCTGGATTCCCTGAAGCTGCTGATTCACAGCATTCAACAATTGGGGCTTTGTGAATGAAACAATGAGGAGCTGTGTACACTCCAATGTAGCCATTCTTGGAATCCTGAGTATTTCCTTTTTCCCGATGCCAAAATAACTTATTTTAAATAAGTATCACCTAAAACGTTATTGAGATGTTGCACACTTGTTATGCGTGTTGTGCTAACCGATGCAGTTTCTTCGCGGAAACAACAGAGCCTGTCGTTGCCCTTTCTTTCGCATTCCCTCGATCGACGCCCGAACCCCCGTCCGATTGCGTGCGCACCGTACACCGCCGTCCGATACTCCCCCATCGACCAAAGCAGTTTTAATTTGGCTGTTTTTGTTTTCTTTGTATGTTGACACCGTACCCACCATCCTACCGACGCGCAGTGACGGACACCCGCCAAAACACCCTTGCCAGAAAGGGCGCGCGAAAGCCGGCCCCCCCAGCTGGTTCCCTCCCCCGCCCCGGCCCTGGCCCCGGGCGACTCGGCCAGCGCGGGCCCCGCCCGGCGGCGGGAACGGCTGCGCGCAGGGCCCCGGCGCGATCAGGGCGGCAGTCATGTTCTACTCCCTGCAGATTCTGTCCCGCAAGGGGCCTATGGGCACCATCTGGCTGGCTGCCCACAGCGACAAGCGCCTCAAGCGCAGGCAGATCATCGAGACCAACGTGCAGGCGAGCGTAGGTGCGCCACGCGCGGCGCGGCGAGACTGCTAACGTGAGAGTCGCTCTTCTGCGCGGGAGATTGATCTCCAGGAAGGGGCAACGGGATGGGAGCTTGGGGTCGGAAGGGATGTGAAGGGAGCGATTACGGCTGGCCTGGCTTGATGCGTCGGCACGGATGCGTTCCCTTCGGGGTCCAGGCTGCCGGTTCGGCGCATGTGTTCCCCAGTGGGCCTTTCGGCGAACCAGAGCGACCTCGGGTGGTACTGGCGGTGATTAGGAAGCCGGCGGGGCCAGTGATTGGCATGGAATGGAGAAGATGCCCAAGTGCTGTGGGGTCTGTCGTGCTGAGAGAGATGGCGCGGACGTGCCCGGGCGCGCGATACGGGGTTCCCTGCAGCGGGCTATGCCGCTCCGTAGCTCCCTGTCCATTCGCCCGCGGGTGGGTGCACCACCTCTTTCAAGGAATTTTCCTTGTTCTCAAGGGGAGTGGCATCTCTGCGTCCGATTCGGGCAGGGTCTGGCCCGGGCCGGGTGGGCATCGGGATGCCAGGGTCCAGGTTCACTGGGGGACACGATTGGTGCATCCGCCTGGAAGGTGACCTATCCTCGCCGTGCCTGCAGATTCCATTACCAACCCCAAGGCGCCGCTGTCCCTTCGACTCTCCACGCAGCTCCTGTTCGGGGTGGCCAGGGTGTACTCCAGGCAGGTCGGCTACCTCCTGGCCGACTTCCACCACTACCTGGACAAAATACGCAAGGTGCGTGGCTACTGGGTTGTGTTTGAGCTAGAATTCACATACCGTTGGATTGTACGAGTTCCATAGAGACATCTGCTGTGACCAGTGAGCCGTTTTTGCAGGATTGGGCGGATTTGGGCAAGGATGCGCTTTGGAATCTGACACTGAGGACTAATTCTCTGTTCCAGGGCAACCTGAAAGAGTGCTATTTAACGGAAAGGAATTATCTCATGCAATGGCCACCCAGCGCCATTTCTCTTGAATTTTGCACAGCCTGTGACTGACTCCTTCCTTCTCTCCAACCTTCATTAACACATCGCTCATTCCCTTCCCTTGTCTTTCCTTGTGCATTGCCAACATCAGTCCTGCTGTTCATTGATGGTCCCATCGTTGTGGGAATCGCAGTCTGATGAACCTCCCTTTTGTAGCAGTTGTTGCAATTTGTTGATAGCACGTCATGGTTTGCACCCACACACATTCATTGCCTGGGCAGGCTAGCAATGGAGCTGTCATTGTTGGCACAACACTTGCTGAAGGGATGATGCAAGTTGACCTCAACGCTATTACCCTACCAGACAACTATGGGTTTGAGAGGCTGGATGAGTTGGACAACGGCTATCCACTTTCACAGTCAGGGTGCGTCATGGGGCATTCAATGGGTGCAGGAACTAGCAGAGGCGACTGAAGAGTCAGTTTTAGTGCTATGGAGCTCTTAGTTGAGGCAACTGTGGAAGACATTGATATATATGTATGGATGCGCTTCTTGTACCGCTGATGTTCTGTACATTTTAGAGTGATAACACTGGTGGTGGCTGGGCCCTGAATGCAATATTGTCTTGTTGGATGTGCTAATGTGCCAAGTATACCACAAATGGTTCGCTCGCGTTAGTTCTGTTCAGCTTTGGGATTCAATGCACCAGCTTGGAACGGGGTCATTGGTTTTTTCTGTGCAATTTTAAGATAACATTTTGCACAGCATCAAAATGCCCAACCCAGTCATCGGTCACTGGGAAATCTGCTGGAGATTGTTTGGACATTGCTGGCCGGCTGCTGACTTGGGGGTTTTGTGGCATCAAGTGCAGTGTTCTAAAGAAGTTCTTATTCCTATGGACAGACAGAGTGGCTCACTACTTCATGTGGCGGAGGTGTCGGTTGCACCCAGTGTGTCCATCATTGAAGACAGCACGCTCCATTCTTTGGCACCGGCCTACAACTCAGGACGTGAGCATTAAGACCCTCTTGGGGAACATTTGAAAGCCCATTGAGACCAGAATCCATTGACCCGACGAAATGTTCTTTTTACTGATGAAAATCGGCAGCTATGAGGCTGTCGGCAGGTGGCATGGTTGGCAGATACATCAATGGCCTTGTGCTGCAGTTCGCTGCTGTTGCTGAAGTTGTCTGCCTACATATCAGCACCCAGATGATTTCGTTTGGGTTGAACATCTGGCTGACATTGTGTTGAGTTCATTACCCTGTGAGCAGCGGTATTGTTGCCGATTGCCTTCTTGCACAAAGCTTGGTAGCAGCAACCCATGCTCCTGCTGATAATCAGCTCGTTTTTGGTCTGTCAGCTGAGGTGTTTGAGATGCCTGATGTGGAGCTGCCGTTTGACATCGAGGTGAGCAAGCTGACTGCACTACTGAATCGAGCATAGTTGGAGCTGTTGTGTGGTTTCCTTTCTTTATTCATTGTAGCTTTGTTGCTTCAACTGCATGCAATTATGTACCTCAAATCCGTTTCTGTCAGAGTTGTTCGCCCATAGCTTCAAGACAAATGTCTTGTTGCAACAATTGTGTCTACTCTTCTGACAGACAGGTGCTTGGGTCTCAGTTGTGGTCTGCAGTCTGCTCTCTTGTGGGTCACCTGGCCTTTATTGATATTAATCCCTGGATTCCCCTTTGCCTGGCCATTTTGTGGTGTGCCCCAAAGTATGTGTGCCATTTGCAGGCAGAGATGGAGATTACACATCAGCAGATTTTCTCCCAAGGCAATAGCGTGTGCTCTCCTGCTGTCAACACCACTGAAGTGGGCTCAGCACGTAAGCATAGGGCACACCGGCTCTGCCTATGTCCTGCGGTTGCCATCATCCATGTCAGCATCCATTTCTTGCATGCTCACTCCTAGTGGCTGCATTCCTCAGCATATTCAGCCCTCACATGGCAACAGGGTCCCTTGGATCTTGTATCTGAGGGTGTGCTGATTATGCATCCAAATAGATGCGCGATGTATGTGCTTGTGTCGTCCCTTTTTGCTGACAGCATTGCGATTTCCAATGTTGTTCAAAGTGATGAAGGTACGCCTAATCATCATCATCGATCGGCAAAGAGGAACTTCTTTGAAACAAACTCATTGACAGCTGGGTCAGCCAGCTGAGCTGCTGCTGGTCATTTGTTGTGTGACCATAACCAGGCTGTCTGTGCAACAAGGGCAGGGCTGGCATTTGATCCCTTGGATGTGCTACTATCGTTAGAAGCAAAAAGTATGATACAGAAACAGTTCCAAGGTCTTCACTTCGTTACTGAAGGGACTTCTGATTGTTCCCCGTTTCGTTTTGTGTGTCAGCTGTGGATGCCATGGACGGACAAGAGGAGCTGCAGCAAGTAGAAGACTGTTGTCCTGAGGCGCTCACAGACATGGAGCGGATGGACGTCGATGCTGGGCCATCTGGGCCGACAGAGCTGGAGATGCTGCAGCTAGATGCTGAGACACCTGGGCCATCCCCACATGTTGTTGAGCAGGAACGAGGAACAGGTTCCACCATCATTGAAAAGTAGGCATCCTGTCAGCAATGTGTTGCTGAACAGCCCTGAGCGCTGACCTGGCAATGCACAGTTGGCTGCTGCTGGTGGTTGCAGTTGTATATGCTGCTGGTATCATTTTATGGCCAGTGGCAACCATTGCTTGTGGCAATTCTGCCCCCCTCCCTTCGAACATATGGTTTCCAACCTCCAGTCTTGGACTCGGTGCCCTGTCAACTGTGAATCGGGGCACATCAAAGTGATATGTATGGGGCTCCACTTTCACAACTCCAACTCCTGCGCTTGATACCATTTCCCAGTGCCATGTGACATTGCATGCTGCAAGCCACAGTGGCATTCGTGACCAGAATGTTGGACAGACTGGCCCCTTCTGAATGGTGGCTGAGGTTGTCTTCAGTATTAGTATTGCATGTGTCCAAAAGTGCCGATGCATTGCTGTTTACATCTTCCACGTTGTGGCATCATCCAAAGTGATGGGCATGTTGATGGTGGGTGGGGTGTCTAGAGACTTGAGGCATATTCCTGGTGCTTTTTGGAAGTAGAAAGCGATTTGCAAGGCCTCAGTGCACAATGTGGCTGAAGCAAGTCAGCGGAACACTGTGACACACATGGCCATGAGTGGAACACAGCAGTTGCATTTGTTAGTCTTAGTCCAGTGATGGGCTTTGTTCATGCCAGCAACATGTGGAGTAAGCGCGCTTCTGCTTGTGCTGCTGGGGCATCGTGGCAGTAGCAGCTTCGCTGGAAACAGGGTGTTCATTGATGCTAGGAGAAACGGTAAGCAAATGGCCGTGCTGCTGCAGGCCCAACATACCCGAAGGAAACATGCTGCTCAAGTTTGACGTTAATCGCAATCGGCCCCTGACAGAAGTGCCTGGAAGATTGATCCGCAAGCTTTTGATGGACCGCTCTCCGCTGCTGTGCAAACGAGGGACGGCAATGGGGGGCCAAGACCGTACAAAGAAGATCGATCTGGTGCGATATTTTGTTCATTTCTCATTTTCCTGGCTGTCAGATATGAAAAGGACAGCACACATAAGCCGTACTTCTTTGTGCCCTCTAGTGTGTTTCTGTTGACTGTGCACCGCACTGGAGCATCGTGTTCACTGCAAAAGAGTGCATGAAAAGAAGTCAAATTGTTACACTATGGTCGTGTTGCAGGTGGCTTTGCACCCAAATTCCCATGTCATCCAAACTTGGCATCTCACTCAAACTCCTTGGCGAATCTTTAATTGCGACGGGATATTTCGATGTTATTGAACCCTTCAATGCGTTACTGTTTCTTGGGCAGCAAGGTTCCATTTTCAAGCCTGCAATGTACCATGGACCCCATCTCACACCATACACACAATTCAATAGCCATCAGCATTTTGCATTGGATATCCAATACCTTAGGTCTGGAGATCTTTGGTTCATGTTGCTGTTGCCTGCATGCTGACCCTGAATCAAGGTGGGCTGTGTGCATGACAGACCTCTTTCGATCCCAGCACAAATGCCCTTCACCAGTCAGCGGCTCTTGGCCAAGAGCTAGTTCCAGAGCTGGCAGGCCTTTTTGAAATTTCACCAATGCACATCTCGCTGCAAGAGCAGCCGCAGCGATGGCAGGGTGGGGATGAAACTGGCAGATCAACCCTGCTCGATGATGAACATGACATCAAAGACCGTGGTGCGCCATTGAACGAAACAGAGGCCCCTGGGCCTTCAGGCAGGGATCGTTGGGAAGGAGCATCTCCATCAGGGCGTGATGGAGGTGTGGCAGATGGGGTTGAGCACTCTTGCAGAGTACCATGTGTTGCTCGATTAGGTTCTTTGAAGCTGTCTTTGAGTGTGGTTGTGTTGCACAAGTGTACTCAAGAAGCAATGCTGAAGGAATGTAGACTGGATGAACGTATAGATGTATAGAATAGGTTTGTATGGATAGTGTTCTTGCTTGTTCGATGCTGGCATGGGCCAAGAAGCACTGCAAGGCAAATTTTGCTGAGCTTATCTTAAACTTGTCACATTTATCCTGGCCCTGTTTACGCACATCGCCAGAGTGAATATGAAATGCGATATTTGAAGTTTGTGGTGGCTATCTTGGTTGAATAGGTGGTATTGATGCCAGACCCAGCGAGATGCCTGATCTGCTGGCCAATGAGGATGCTGCCTGGGACCCAAATATAGACCTGGCGCCTGCGGGGCCTGTCGATTGTGACATGAATGTGGGGCCCACCCCGATGCCTGACAGCGTGTGCCCAACTTCGCCTTTTCCGCTCTCGCTTCCCACCACGCCACCATCCTGGCCATGCGGAGCAATGACCCAGGGGACGGACACGACACCAGGTAATGTCCATCACTGCCCTGCAGGTGGCAAGGGCAGCACTCAGTGACGTTGTGCGGCTGTTGTTGGATGGACTGTCACAGCAACAGGTGATACAGGTGATGCAGGTGATGCTGGTACTGCTGTTGATAGAAGCATTTGGCGCATGGAGAACTTTTGCACGTTCGATTAAAATGCAGCACTTTCTTTACCCCCCAAACTCTTTGTTCTGGCTCAGGGGATGACCCAATCGCCCAGGACTTCACAGCACGCACCAGGGCAGTCCTGGGCTACGTCACAAAAGCGCTGAAGCCAGCAGAGTCCCCGCCAACGAAGAGACAGCGGCTTTCAAATGGGTCTTCCCAACAAACAAGCAGCTGCAGCAAACGCCTGGACCTGAAAACTGTTGTGGAGGGAAAGCCCAGGTCATATGCCAGCTCCGTGTTTCTGGAACTGCTGGTTCTGAAGTCGAAAGGCCTGGTAGAGTTAGAGCAGGCAGAGGCGCTCACAGACATTCATATAACGGCTGGGCCTAGCTTGGGAAAGGACGCCTGTGCAGAGGGCGCCTAGCCTGGTGGCAGGACTGTTGGAGGTGCACGGCGGAAAGGTAGCAGGGCCAGTGGCAGGGTGCTGTCAGAGCATGGCAGTGCAAATAGAGGGGGCGCAGAGGGGGAATAGGAGGCTATGCATATAGGTGCTAGAAAAGACACTTCACATATGTTGCAAATCTAGTAGGGCATCTGATAGGACAGTTGGGCCATGTTGTGTTGGCAGCAATGTGTGTTGAACTTGTTGTCAACAGTACTGTTGTCCATCATGACATGCTGTGCTGTCATGGTCATTCTCTGGGAAGCCTGCCTTCCAAGGCACCTGGGTGGACCAGTACACCATGTTGTGCTCATCGGCAAATCCAGGAGGTGCGATTGTGTAGCCAGCTCGATGCTTTGCAGCCTGCAAACAATATCCTTGTTGCACAGCAAGTACTTGATCTATGTGGTGACAAGCTAGGTGTGGCACACGTATGTACGAGCGGATGAAGGTGGTGCGAGCTGAAGAGCAGAACAGGCGCTGTGTCACCTTCACACATGCCTTCACCAAGTGGTGGTGCATTCAGTTGGCACAGATAGAGTTGCAATATCCAGCAAGCAACAGGGCCACTGCACAATGACCCTGTTTCGCATCAAGAGCGCAATCTTGGATGTACACAGGGCCGTAATCGTCCATATGGTGCAAGGGCACTGCTTCGTCTTATTGCAGGTAATTTGCAAGAATAAAAAAGCACCAATGGCACGCCTCATTGGAAAGCTTAAGGCCTTGTGGTAAGGAAAACAAACTGGCCACCAAAGACTGCTGGAAAATTTCCCACAATAAACCTCAGAAAGTCTCCATTTGATGAAGGTGCACCTTTGCTTTTGTCGTCCTCATTTTGCACAACTGTGCTCAGGTTTTGAGCCCAAGACAACTTTTCAGGCTTGCTCCTGTTTATGGGAGATGTTGCTTCAGGACGAGAAAATAGTCGAGGTCCGCAGCCAACTGGTTGCATGCACATCTGCAACAATGCAAGAAGGCGATTACGTGCCCAACAGCCGTCGACAGTAGGCTAATATCTCTGGGAATTAATGGTGGCAGTGCACTCAAGGCAATATCCATGTAATTGTTGTTTAAATATCAACCCTCACATTAGCCACAGCACTCAGCCCCCACATACGTTGGAACAAATGATGGACGACCACCTGCTCAATATTGTTGTCTCAGCTTTCCACATTCTCATTCTCTGACTGAACAGCTGCTTTTAACATATCTGCCATTTTCCCAGGGCCAACTTCTCGTATGTGCTGCACCACTGCCCACATGCCATCCTTGCCATCCATGATGTACGATTCGTTGGAGGGGTCTTGTGCAGCACTGTAGGCTCCCAGCACTATGCTCTGTGCCATCCTCCCCATGATCATGACTGGCAGGACGTCAATCTCTGTGGGAAGCAGGGGATTGACTGACAGGTAACCTTTCTGCACGACAAGACACAAAATGCCCCATCGCTACTCCCGAGCACACAATTTTCCACACCAAACACGCAGAATTTGGCACTGCAGCAATGGAAGTGAATTACTGCAACAATATAACGGTCACTGGATATCACTGCTCCCTGCATCCACCACACGAATGTGAAACACAACGTTATGAAATGTCCCAGACATCGCCTAGTAGGTGTTGGTGTTTGTATGGCTTCAACAATTATGGACAACATGGATTGCAATGCGCCATCCAGGTTTTGCCACACAAGTTCATCAAGGGCGAGGGCACACTGGATAATCTGCAGTGCTTGCTGCGAGCTTAGCCTAGGGTGTGCCTGCCTCCAAAAAAGGATTTACAAGCAATACGAGCAGTTTTGGCTACAGTTTGCCCACAAACCTGATTGGCAAACCAACTGACACATCAGGGCAGATTCTGAAGCGTGTGCACTGTGCAGAGAGCAGTAATGCATCTTCCTACACAAATATCTTGAGGGAAAATTCATCACTGCTCAAAATGATCAGGATTTTGCACATCACTGTCGCTGAGCCTGTCAAATCCGGATAGCTAAATGCCAAATCTTCCTAGATCCTTCAGCCCTTGACAGCAGGGTGCTGCTGGTGAGCAATGCAAACAGCGTGCATGGCAAACATTCCCTAATCAATGTCCGTTTCTACACACCAAAATGCAGACCGCTGGCTCCATCCTGTCCCCTCTCGAAAAGGCCATCTGGTATGCCATGGCATGTGCCACATCCATGGCCCGATGGCCAACATTCATCTCCCCAAAGTCAATGATGCCCAGTATCTGGGTGTCAGACTCGTCCACAAGGACGTTGCTCTCGTTCGCGTCAGTGTGCACCAGCTGGCGAGGCAGTGTGTCTCCAACGTGACGCAGAACATTTGCCAGCTCGTCTGCAACCTCAAGGTACACAGACCTGCAGGGAACGAACGCGAACCCCATTCATGACGACCCTGGGAGGAAATCGACGGTCCGCTGAAGCAAGCGCAAACAACATCAAGCAAATGTCACGCCACACATCGTCTGCTGCTGGGCCATGTCCTCACCATGTGCACGATCGATGCATTCATAGCATATCCAGGCACTGCCGTCTTCTGGCAAGCCGATTAGCAGGAATGACAATGGGGCAGTCGAAACCCAGGTAGCCATCCGGATCGACGACACCCAGGATAATTTGATCAGCTTGTATGGAAAGTGAAGCAGCAGCACAGGAGGGCAGTGTTGTGCCATGGGGGCTTGATGGTGATGGCCTGGAGGTGCATCCTGCCATTCGCGACTGGGAACAAGCCCACCTTGTTGGTGGCCATCAAGGTTGTTACACTGGGAGCTGCACAGGCTCACAATTGTGGGAGCACCATCAAGGAATATGCAGTTCATCGTTAGTGTGGCAATATAATATGCAAATCAGGGGATATGGCGTATGTGGTGACAATGAACGATGACACATTGACTTGGTGTTGAACATGGACCACAGATGCGATATACAGTGTATCATGGCAGCCACGGTCTACCTCAAGTGCACAGACCGCACCCAGGCACCCCTTGGGTGAGGGTGTCGCAAGCACTGCTGGTTGTCACCAATGTGCAACAGCACAACTCATACTTACAGTTGGGATGGCAACAGCTCATCAACGTTGTCGATTTACCACAAAGAAATTCAGCATCACCAATTTCCAGCAAGGAGCAACACCAAGTCCCAAACTACCACCCAAACAGATTAACACTGTTTTGTACAGCGATTTTGCACTGATGTGAGCATTGCATGCGCACCCACCTTTGGTACGTGTCGCCAATTGCAGAAGCATGATTCTTTATAGCCTCTGGGGCTTGTGAAAGATGCCACTCACACTCATAATGGAATGCAGGAAAGTCCATTCCCTGCAAGACCTGGTGCATCCTGCCAAGAAACACTCCAAGCGATGTCCACAGCCCAGCTGTCTGCAGAGCAACCAGTACTGTCACTAGAAGACTGAAGATTTGCCGCAATGGCAAAAACGCCACACAACTGGCACACCCCTCTGGATTGTGTCTGATACTCTTTCCATCCTGCTTTGATGCCATAGCGATGTTTGCGCAGGAATTTTTCGACCAAGAATGGCACCTGGGGGATTCCCTTCTTGCTCAGCACTCGTTCCATCAACAACCCAACTTATCTGCCAATAATTGACAAGACAACAATCTTGCATTGAACAGTATGTGATGGATAAATCACACAAATGAAGAAATCAGCGATACACAGTCTTTTTCCCACCTGCCGTGCTTGCAAGAGCTCCTTTCCAGGTACATAACCAAAAAGGCTCACAGCATGCAGGCACTGATCTTCATTTGTTCTGCTCTGGGAAGCAATGAATACAGTATCCACATTTCCTTCGCCGGAGGCCGGAAGTATTGGACGTGGACAGCAGATTCCCTTGGAGTTCAGCTCTGTTAGGACGGCTCTCAGAGCCTTCACAACAGTCCAATTCGACAATGAGGTGACAACACTGAATGATGCTGATGAGTTGATGTGTATGTGTAGCAGATGTGTGGGCCACAGCACATAGGGAGGCAGATGGACAAGCTTGCCAGAGTGCAAATTACCAGGGAAAGGCACAAGTGCCTGCATCACTTGCTTCTGCTTTCAAGGAATTGTAGATGCGTGCAGTGCTGATGCAAACGTCCAAGAAAGTGGGGACACAGCTGGGCAGATGTGATGATGTATCCCATAGAAATGCCTATGGGCAGCATTTCCCTTGCAGGCCAAAACAGTGCCCTGGAACTGTGAAGATAGTGGCAGGCACATGCACAACCAAAACCTTGCATTGTGTCCTTTGCATGCACTGCGGACCATTTTGTTGTTCAGCCACATTGGTGGGAAACTGACTGTGGCCGCAGCTTACCTTTCTGTAATCACCTTTATTAGCGGATTCAGCATTGTGCACTTTCATGACATACTTCTGAACCTGTCCTAACACCAAACCAAAGCACCAATCAGCAGAGAAGGCTGGGAGGTACAGCACGAGAAAGATGGATTCGTGCTCAACAATTTCAAGCATTGCCAAGATCCCCATTGAGTGCATATGCAGGGCAGGTTTTCGTTTCTGCTGCAGGTGTCTTGTCAACTATGTCTCCAGTTAGTGCATCTTTGTGATACAAGATGACCATGTGATCCAGAATCGTTCCCTCAATAACACAACCTCCCAGCTGGTGACAAGCCACGCGCATCAAGGGATTAGCTCTGAAATGGTCGCTAGATGCTCACCATCTGAATCCTTCACCTTGAAGTAGAAATTTGTGTCTTCGTAGCCATCCATCTCCTCAGCCGACAAGACAACAGCATTTTGCAACCCGCAAAAGCACTTCAGTGTTTCTGCTGCTCTCGCTAAAGATACTTGTGGTTTCGGAATCTGACGGAACAAACCGAAAAGAGGTTAAGTGCAGGTTCTGCGCTCCAGAAGCCTTGCTGCCGTTATGCATCTGTGCTGCACTGTTGCATGGCGATCTTGTTCCACTGAGAGACCGCTGCATTGTGTTCCACCGCACGAAAGAGAGCCAATGAGAACACTGCGCGGGTGCGCCATTTGTGTGAAAGGCTATCGCCCATGTTACCATTACGCGAAAAGACAATCACAGGCACCTGGCTTGACTTATGGAACAATTCCTTCAATATTTTTTCGGCATTCACCCCCTTTGACACCACTGGACATCCGCCAACCGCTTTCAGCCCACGCCTGACCGGCCCGTGGACAAAATGACACTCACATACGTCATCTTCGGCCGCCCTTCGGAAATCAGCCACGCTGGGTTATTGGTGGCCGTCAGCCGCCGCCGACACCGTCGCCTCGGCAGCCGAGAGCGTTCAACAGGGCTGACCACCCAGATATCAAGCCAAGGGTCCAAATATGCGAACAGGAATAACAGAGGGGTGTAAAGACTGGCGCCCTGCACATGATGGCGAGTGAGGCGAGTGATGCGAGTGATACGAGTGATGCGAGTGATGGTGGGACGCACCCCAGACACACCCTTAACTGATTTACTGCACATCGGATGCGCAGAGAGAGCCAGTTGCGCACGACATTCGGCAGCGGCACAGTCGCATTGTTCGCGGTTGGGCCCTCGGGCGCAGAGCATGAGCGGAGGAAGCGCTGGCCGTGGCATGCAACGAGCGCCAATGGCTGCGCCTAGAGGAGCCATTGTCAGTCCCTCCGACAGCGCCTCGCCACCGCCGTTCGACCGGCGTGTCCGCGCGGGTATAAAAGAGAGGCAAGTGCGCACAAAGCTGCAAGGCGAACACAATCCGCACTGCGCGCTTCCGGCAAGAAACCACATGGAGAGGTCTGGATACGTGGGCAGCTCCCGCCGAAAGGGCCGCCACACTGGTGGGTGTTTTGGGTGGCTCGATGCGGCTGATTCCATCCACGATGCACTCACAGGAGGGAGTCGATTCTCGAGAGGGGCGTGGGCTGCCGCTTGGCGTGCTCGTCGCGTTGTGCTCTGGGCACCCGCGCCCCAAAGCGCGTCCGCTTCTGCGCTGCAACGACCGTTCACGCGTTGGCTGATTCTCATGTGCAGGAGATGGTGGAGTTCATCGCTTCAAGGCGCTTCCTCAAACAGTCCTCAATTGCCAGGATGCCTCGCCCGTGACAGCAGGCAAAGGCGCAGACCGAATTCCCAGCCCTCGTGCACGGACAGGCAGACATCGAGGGCAGCATCCACAACAGCGCGACCGGCGGACAGCAGGTTCGAACCTGCTCAGAATTCTGAGCCCAACGCTGTTCGGCGGTCGCCGGCGAGAGACGCCGACCAACGCGCTGCCGCCTTTGCTGTTCCGCACCGACAACCTGTTTTCATGTGTACACGCAGCTTCAGCTCCAGTGCCCGAAGTCTTGGACGTGGCGGAACCTGCCAGACGGCGCTTGGGACCACTGTTGCAGGCCCAAGCCTCAGATCTGGGGCTTCATGCGGCCTTGGCAAGGCGGCGCAGTGCAGCGATGCTTGTTCGATCTCGACGTGTCCAATGCAACGAGTCGAGCGACGGTCCCTCTGTCCGCGACGAGCGCCTGCAGGAGGCGACGGAAGTCGCTGCCCCGGCCGGTCGCGTGACTGGCAAGAGGGTGAGGGTTTGCCAATTCGTAGCAAGTGGCGCAGCGGCTTCGCGCGTGCGCTATCATAGTAAGGCTGCAATGGCCCAGCTAGATAGCCTTCCCTTTCCATGCTTGCTCGGCATGCGGTTTGCTGGGTTCAGGGGCTTGTACCGGCTTAGCCGGGACGTGGGGCTATTGGCCATACGGTGTACCCCCTCGGGGGCCCAGTAACGGGCCCAACAGGGCTGCGGTTACCGCAGGGGAGGTACATTGCAGTGCCAATACCTCCCCTGTACCGGCTAATCAGACGGTACAAGGGCGGCCGGGTCGGCTTGCTGCGCGTGCACGACGGGGCTGGTGGGAACGATCCTGGGTGGCAACCACTGTGTGTTGCTACGGGCTTACAGGTCCTGACAACTCAGCGAGAGCGTGTGCGGTCGAAGGGTGTCACCACCACGGCTCTGGGAATACGAAATTGTTGGCGTGTTTGTTGGAGCACTTGCCTGCATCGCCTCAAAGGTGGTCTGCAGCGTGTTCTTGACCTGCTTGACGTTCAGTTCAGCAGGGGTGTCAGCGTCACGTGCACGTGCTTTCGCTGCTTCTAGAAGCATATACCCACCTGCGTATGTGCATGCAGGTATGGCACCGTAACAGTTGCGTTGACGTGGAACGGGAGGTACTGTTGGCTTGTTTGCTGAGGGAGTTGCATGCACTAACTTTGATGGCGTGTGGGGTATGTTTTAGAAAAGAAGTTAACTACGAAGGAGCAAACTGGAGAGCGTAACTTTGCAACAGGTCGCCATTTGTTGCAATAGTATGGAAATAGAAATTGGGATAGATATTTACATCGATGTAGGTACTTGTGGAACAAGGAAACGGGAAGGAGGGCTTGTTCGCAAAGGTGACATTGCAGTCGTCAGCTACACCATGACAATTACTCACCATTGAGTGTATCCTGTGAAGTGATGGGACGACGGTGACAGTGCTGCGCGAAGTGAGATGCCCAAGGGACTACCGTACAAGGAGAAAGCACATCCACGTATGGGTTCAAATTCTTTAAGGCGATATCCTTGAATGCCCGATGAGATCCCAGGAAGATGACCAGGAAAATATATAAGAGCGGCTCTTGTATAGAGTAAAAATAATACTAGTGTCATCCCTAGTGTACAGTACTAATACCAGTACACAACGAGTGTACTGGTACACCCCTAGTAGTGTACTTATAGTAGCGGAAGTATCAGTAATTTGTAAGAGCCGTACTATTTGGCTCTTGAAGAGCCAGTAATGATTCTGAGTGTCTCCGGTGAGTGCCATGCAAAGCTTCAACGGCGGCCCTGCCGCCTCTGTTCCGAAGCGTCCATTGCTTCCGCTACACCATTTCGGTGTCTGGACCATCATTGCATAGCCAGCGCATGCCTTGGCATTTGCGCAAATGCCATGATGACAGCCAACCACCTTCTTCACACCCATGTTTGTGTTCGCTTCACAATGTCCAGTGTGTTCTTACCCAAGAAAGGAAGAGAAAGAAAAGCAGCGCCTGCCAATCGGATAGAACAACGCTCAGGTCAACATGTGGAACAGCACAAGTGCACTATGAAATGTCGTTTGTGCGCACTAACCTGGCTCCAGCTAGCTGGCAGCGCTGCCCAAACACGCACAGGTGTCCACTTTCGTGGCGAACAGCCACGGCCGGTGCCAATCGATGGGACGTTCCACCGATTAGTTCCAGCCATACTCTTCTCCGACGACGTTGCACCGGGTGACATTGACCTCCCCTGCTGCGGGCAGTGCCCAACGACTCCCTCGGCAGAGCGCACGACCGCAACAGCTGGCCAGTTGATTGTGCGGGACGGGAAAACCAGTTGGCCGGCGTCCCGCGTGGTCGGTGCCCGCTCACGTAACCGTGACCGATGCAACTGTGGCACCGCGCACGCACAAACAGCCGTTGGCGTCCCTTGGCGGCGTCCTGCCCTGTAGCACAGGACAGCTGTTCGGCGCAACACGTCTGCGATTGACGCGACGGCCCGCCCTCAACGTACGGCCTGCACTCAGTCAAGAACGTGCTCCCGCGGACACCAAGTCAGTCTCCACAAGCACGCCTGCTGCTAGAGAAGCGGCGTCGCGGCGGCAAGACTCCACGAGTGGCCGGGAGTACCGGTGAGATCGCGGGCGGCGTGTTTAAAGTGTCGGGCTGCCCTTCCCTGTGTTCGCGCCGCCGCAAGCCGTTTGGCGATGGGGTGATATCGACTGGCATCGCCAGCAACCGCGCATCGCGTTCCAAACGGCGGCCAGCGGGCGCCCGACACATATCAGTCCGCCACTCGCTGCCGAGGCACCCCACCGTGTTGTCGCGGATTCTCTCGGAGGAGCCTGGCTGGCGCATGGTTGCCTGATCTGGTTGCGAATACCAATGGGCGAGGGACGACGGGGGCGGTTGAACGCGGTGGCCACTGGCAGTCTCAGGGGCATTGTCTTGCGACGCCCTTCCGTGCTCCGCCTCATGTACGGCTCCAGCAACGTTCCCGGCGCCCTGGAGCAGCGACGGGTCGCGATCATTGAGCGGCAGCGCTGGTCGCCCCACCCGGGGCGCATCGTCGTTTGTCGACATGCCAGGATGTCGACATGACAGTGCCGCACACTAGGGAAAAAAAGGGCCAAATGACACGTGTTCAAACGTATACTGAGTTTACGGGTTTGGGTTATTCTTGTGTTTTTAGCGTGCAGAACCTTGATGAAATGTGTTTTACGTGTGTTCGCCAAATTGTTATTTGGTCATTTTCTTGCTAGTGGCAACAGCGCAGAGCGTACGAATTCCCAACGTTCGGCTGCTCATAGAGTCCGCTCCCCGGCCTTGCGCCCTGCCGCCCTCTGCACTGCGCCGATCCAGGAGCTTCGGCCTCTAGAGGCCCACAGATCTGTGGGCTGCTTCTGTCGGAGCTTTGCATGACAGTGCCGCGCAGCTCGGTTCCATCGGGTCAATGAATTCATGAGCGCATGAATGCTTCAAATCGCAGTGAATTCTGCCTGATGCTCTGTCGCGCGACAGAGACGCGTCTCCAACACGCGGGTCTTTGTCGAGGAATTCCCATTGCGCGTGTTTTCCAAGCACGCCATGATGGCTTTGCAGTCTCCGATAGCCAAATTCCATGTGACATAACATTTGATCATGATCAAATCATGATCGTGATCAAATGCCTGATCGGGCAGTCGCCCTCCTCGCGGCGATGAAGCGACGGCCGAGTTGAGCCTCTGTTGCACTGGCCTCGAGGACGGGACGCCTTTCGGTGACGTTTCGCCAACGGAACAGCTTTTGTGGTAGCCCC